ATAGGGCGATTAAATGCCTCAGCGTTTCAATGGACCTTACATCACGTCTCTTGTGATATATTGCCTTTAGCTGTACATGAAGAGGCAGTATTTGAATCACTACTGGTCTTGGTAACGGTCTGAACAAATTTCGGTATGCTGTGAGTCGTTTAGTATCGACCCCATCACCAAACACATCAATTACATAATAAATTATTGCACAAGTAATCAATATCCAGTGAAGGATTCTATGTCGTGTGTGCATTAGCTCATGAAACAATGAATCCTATTTGTTAAATAACACGAATGAATCACAAATTGAGTTGTAACAAAAAAATATACAGTTCACATTTTTACAGCATTAATTTTAATACATTCGACATAACAAAAGCATGTAATGCGACAATCATAATATATCAATAAAGTTATAAAATAAATAATGCTGGCATGCTGTAAAGCAAAGTCTTTCTGTTGTCCTTGGAGGCTGTGTTGCTCCGGCAGCCAATTCGATAATTGGCATTTGAATGTCACGCATGACCGTGCATTTTATTGCGGATTGGTGTGGAAAACCGTTTTTTTTTACAAATGTACAACATTCATGGCAGATTCCAAGCGGCTAGAGTTTGTCTTGCAATGATTGTAAATAGGTTGCAGATAAAATGTACTATTACAAGTATATCATTTTTCGCCGTGTGTACATTTTTTTTCAATGAATTAAAAGGGACATCAAAAAAAAATGTAGATCAAGATGTAATAATGGCCAAAGCCGACGACGATGCCACCACAAAACCTCAACGCTTTCTACCCTCTGCGAGATCCCCGCAGCTGCTCCACACGAGACACGCGGACCTCCAAGATCCGGCCTCATGCTATTCCCACCATCTGGTCTTGGGTCTTCCCCTTGGTTGACAGATTCGTGGAGACCACTTTGACCTGCCCCCTGTGCCCTCCTCCTGCATACATCCTACCCGCCGGCATGGTGGTTTTTATTTAGCCTGATTATATCAAAGCACTGATGGGGGGGGGGGGGGGGATAATGGTTGCGCTGGGTGGGACATGCATTTAATTATGAATGTTAATATATTCTGAATTTAAAAATTTGAGCGAGAAGTGTAATATAAAAGTTGTGTTATCACTGCAGCATTAGAATGTATAAATTATAGGATTATGCATTATTCGTGATATAGTTTTAACATAGAACATATATCTCTGATTGAGATTAATGATATTGATGTGATCACGAAATAACTATAAAACATTCTACTATTTACCACTGTTAACTACGATCGCATTACAATTTTTTTATTTAAATTTTAAAATGCTATTAAGGCAGCATTGATTCATAATACATTCAATTCAGTGCATATAAAAAATGTGAAATATCCATGATCTACATTGCTATATCATCACTTCTGTTGCATTCATCAACTCATGGCTTAAGCGATCAAATGCGTTATATTTCAAAGATGCTAGTTCTCAATATTTCTCGTTTAATGGCTCCTTTCAAAATTTTAAATCGGTTTCTTTTCCTAGAAATGTCCAAAGTGTTGACGTTAAATAATCAACGTGCAGTGGCACAGAGGTTACGTTAAAAAGTGTAAATGAGTTAAGTTATTATTCATCCATCTCTATGCATACACACTTTATATTTGCACCCATTTAATTGTAGAGACAAGGGAAACAAAAATCTTTCAGAAACAAAAAAGGTCGGTATTTCCATTGCCTCTCATGCCATGTGGGCCATCCCTACATATGATGAATCGGAATCTTTATTTAGACCGAAGCTCTTTTTTCACAGACATATGCCATACAACAGATGCACACTTTCAGGGGGAGGGGTGACATCGTGGTCAGCACACAGCACTCTGTAACCGATCAAAGTTTGATTCCCAGCCATGGCTAACATCAATGGAGAAGTGATATCTGAACCGGTCCCAGCCAAACCAATTCACCAACCCGTAGTGAGGAATGCTGCGAGGCACGGTCAAACAAATCCCCATGACCGACGTATCATGGACAGGCCTTAATCCAATAAGGGGTTAACAGGGCATTATTTAATGCAAAAAAATAAGTAGGCTGTTAGCCTATCATTAAATCTGGTGAAGTTTTAATTGACAAGCACCTCGGGATTCAACAATACGGGCTTTACGTTGTCCGCAAAGAAATCAATACATGAAGGCGAGTATCTTGTGGTTGCCATCATCAATCCAACGAGGAATCTCAGCAACATGGTTTATTGTAGCAGCATCTTTTTAATGAACCCAATAATTACCCTAATGCACGGGTATTCACTGCATTGCAACAAATGGCTTTTAATGGAGGCGCTTTGACATGTTTATTGCTCACTGCAGATGCATGCGCACACGTGAATATTTGCTGGAAAAAATAAATCGTGGGGTAACCTGATCTGAATGGCAACAGAAATCCATTCTAGAAAATAAAATCAGCTACTGAAAAACACAAACACACCCATCACTGGGCAGAAGCTGCTGGAACACGCATTAGAATGCTCTGACAGCAGGAAAGATGATATAGGGCAGCCTTCATCACTCCCAAAGCTCCCAATGCAGAAATTGAGAGAGAGAGTCCAGACTGCAGCTTGTATAACAACATTAATCATAGCCGTGCAGTTTGCTCTTCAGTGGCCACCTTTTTGCTAACTCGCATCGTGAAATTATCAGGAACTTTTTTGTACAGCATGTATTTTATAGCCACCTGAATAATCTGACATTTGGATGTAGACAGGGCTTAATTTCGAATGTAATATTTTGTAGGACCACACAAACCTCAACACCCCCCCACCCCGCCAATACTCAGGATGGAAGAGGGGGCGGTGGTGGGGGGGGATGAGATATATTTTCTGAAGACATACAGCTCCAGACGAAATCAAGCCTTGGATGTAGATGGCAACATAGAATGGCAGTGACCAATATGTTGTCCATACCTTGCGATGGCTACACACCCAACAAATGTGCAACGACACATTGATCTCATTGCCTTTATGCATGGAAATGAAAATCATAGTTTAGTATCCCCCCCCTCTCCCCAATTTTATTATGATTGTTCTGTCAGCATGTCATGAGATGAAAAAAACATTCGGAGACGCAAAGCATCACAACCTGCCTATGTACGAGCACATTTCACGGAAGATACCACGAAACTAATCCTTGAGATTCCCTTCAAAGCCATCGTTTATCCATGAATTCCTACCCTCCCTGCGCCACAGTAATGTTTGTCGCATGACAGTCAAACCGAAACGTTTAATTTTCAGTGCTGATGTTTATTCAAATACACTGCAGAAGCAAAGAGGAAATGACTTTTTTGTGTAGTTTATTGGTGACCAGGCTATGGCCATTAAATGACTACACTTGAGGGCCCTATTTAATGAAGTGCAGCTGTCCGGAACTTAGGACCTCAAACGGTGACGAATCAGCGCTCCGACCTCTGAGCCACACATCCCTCTCTACAATAGCCATGTAATTTAATGCTCTGACCGCCAACATAGCAGCTCGGCGATGCCAACTCAAGTACACCCGTGGCTCTGTGCACATTGTTGCAAACTCAAGTTAATGCAGCGTGGCAGCATGTGATCGCACTCACCTTTAAGAGAATGTTAAATAGAAGTAAAATCGATTTGCGGTTAAATTTTAGTCAGTAATTTCCGTACCTCGAAAGTGGTCAAGCACACTTGAAAGACAGTTTCAAGATGCACAAAGGCAAGTGAAACTATTTGGCGAAAAACAAGTGCAAAATTCCACATCATCGCTTGATGAGTTGTACTGTATATATTGAAACATTTAAATTATTTGTACTTTCGGTAAGATTTAATTAACTTGGTTGCGTGGCACAAAGCCACATGTCAGCGGCAGGTTAAAAGCAATGTGAGCAGATTTGTAGAAACTTACATCGTGCAGGAAACAAAGACCAATTGCTTCAACTGGCACATTGGAGCAGAGCCAGCACAGAGGGCCCCCTCGTGGTTTTCCACTGGATATTTATGTCATGCCAAGCCAGAACCAAACCACGGCTACGCTGGCCTCACAAGACATCCGAATCTGGCTCGAAGCCAATAAGCCAAACAAGGCCAGGGCCGGGGCTAATGACGGGTTGATTTCACGTAGCGTCGGTCAGTGTAACTCAAATACTGAGGCAACCTACATGGGTCTCCACTCGATCATGGCATGTGATGTCAGTGGCACGGCTTGGGGTTTTGAAGAAAGAACAACCTACAGCCACCTGAGCTATACCAAAGTTTAATTTTTTTAGGGGCCCTAGCAAGGCTCGGTTGTGCAGTGGCAGAGTTTATTGCAAATGGCTGCAATTCTGTACAGCAATGCCTGCTACTACTACATTGGCATGACAGTGAAATACTGTGTAGAAGCACAAATAACAAAAAATAAACCTCCGGCCACATTCGTCAATAACGCCTTGGCCTTTAAAAGGATGACGAAAAAAAAGGCAACATTTCCGCCGATGGCTCCTTTATTCATAGCGCACAAACGAATGTATCGGTTTTGCACAAGTCATTTATGCACGAGGTTTTTTCGTAATTCTGGTGGTTAATACTTGCACTAAAAGTCGTCACCACTGGGTGGCAAACAGAGCGTTGACAAGAAGTTGCGAATGCGTGAATGTAGCGGGGCACGTGGCCATAATCCACCGATGCAGTTTTTTTAAACAAACACTACTGTAGTTTTGTTGCAAAGGATGAAAATGTACCATTCATTCGAGTTATCAGATGATTTAATGATACGATTACTCTATTGTTGGTTTTGATCGCGCAGTTAATGGGATGACTCAAACATTGTTGGAGGAAAAAGCCCTCACCTCCGTTTCCACGTCTTATTTTGGAAAGGGAGGTGATGGGCAGGGGGGGGGGTGTCATTAGCATCAGCAGCCTCACGTACCTGTCAACCCCTCATCAGTGCCTACCTTATGACAGACCAATTCCGACTACAAAGTCCCATCACAAGGGAGAACACAAATTGACAACAAAAAACATTTGCCCGTATTGAAACGGCTGTATGCCGTATGGACCTGAAAACTCAATTTTCCTGTACAAGAATATGGGTAAACCATATGGGTTGACAGGTATGGCCTCATCAAGCTAGGTGTGGCTTTCAGGGGGTTTCCCACCATGCAAATGCAGGATGTCGGGGCAGCCACCAGTTTTAAAGGTGTCCGAGTAATCGACCACAACTAACATAATTCGCTTCAAATGTTTTTGTCGATTAATTAAAACCATCAACTAATAATCCCACCTCTACTGGTGACCAATATTAGAAAATACTATACGGTACTCGAACAATATGGTTTCAATGCATGAAATCAAATGCATTTCCTTACCATATTCAAAAACATGAGCCACCTTAGGTCTTTGCATGGACATGAGATTTCTTCCAATTTACTGTTGATATCCTTTAATATCCTTTACCAAAGATCAATAAAGATTTTTTTTTAAATGCGTTTTTATAATTGAATTTCAATACAAACGCGGCACCAGTTTAATTCATGGACTTGTTTTGTTCGGTCCAAAATTAGGCTTGACGATTCATCCTGGTCGACTTAAATCCATTGCTTGGTGACCCAACATTGGTGACCCAACATAACTAGATACGGTATATCAAATTTTGATTTAAAGCTTTCGTGACTGCAGTGATTCATATTCTTGGTTCTTTCGGTAAAGTCACGTATATATATTTTATTGTTTCCCTTCAACGTGACTTTACCGAAAGAACCAAGAATATAAGGTATATCAACTTTGATCATGTGACGCAGAGCGCCGCAATGCGCCAAAGGTCACTCCACTCGTTACCTGAGTTGACCTGAAGGACAACCGCAGTCGCCTCTGCACCAGCCACATTCTCGGCCCTCGCGATGTAAACCCCGGCGTCGCTGACCGTGGCATTCGCTATTAGCAGGCAGTGTCGATCTTCACAACACCCGAGCTCTGTGTTTTCATTGGAATTTAACAATTGTCCATTCCGGAGCCTGCAATGAGGAACAACCAAACATAAAACACAGAGAATGTGACCATTTATAACACACAGTAGGGAGAAGATAACGAGGCCTTTAAGGACTGTATGGGGACTTTTCCGGACGGTCTTCGCAAGCACTTGACATTAGCAACTGTTGCCACGCTATTTTCGATTGTAAAAAAAAAGCTGTTGCCGAATGTGTATATTTTTTATTATTACAGCTGCTGACCCAAGGAGCCTAAAAAGCAAAGTGGCCAGCAACAAACAGCGCTATTAAAGGTGTAAGACAGTGTTCTTCATTTCAAGGCCCACGGGCAAGACTAGAGGCTCATTGAAAACAGGGGGTTGGGTTATACACTCTCATCATCCAAGCCTAACGACGCATCCTATGCATTCAGTAAAAGTGAGAAACGTGTAGAGCATTGTATAACATGAAAAATAAATCTTTAGTATTAATGGTGAACAAAAATAGTTTAATAATGATACTGTAGTGAAGTCCAGATATGGATGACAGTGACGAGGATGGTGATGTTAGGGGAGGGAGTTGGGGTTGGCTATCGGCATGAGGGGCTGAAACTTTTTCACCAGAACGTTTTCTCTTTAAAGACAAAACCTCTCCTTGCCCTCTTCACACTACGCTCACATTCACCGCCAGCTCGACGCTTATGTGGGCCCTGATTAAGGTCATACAAAACAAACCCACGAGAAGTGGTGCGGTATTGTACAGTAATCACGGTACACTTTCACGGGGTATTAATTGCAGCTTCAACAACTGAACGACGTGGTACAAGCAGTGCCGGATTAAGCTAGTGCGGGGCCTGTAGCATATGTTACAAAGGTGCTCTAAATAAAAGAAAAACATAAATATTAAAACACATTTTTTACTTGCATAGTAAAGTAATTGTATTTTTTTCACTTGCTATACAGCCAGATAATACGACAAATCGCTAACCTTAAACACCCAGTCGTTCATAAAAGTTGAAGGCGGTATAGTACTATAGTAATAGAGCAAGTGCAGAATCACTGAAACGTAATTGATGGCTTGAAAGCGTTTAGCGCGGGGCCCTTGAAAGTGCGGGGCCCGTAGCTTCTACGATAATATAATACGGCACTGGGTACAAGTATTTGTACGCAGGGTACGTGTAGTGGGGGGGGGGGTACCACGGCGCTTGATGCTTGAACACGGCCAGAGATTTGAAATCATGGGCAGCGTGAAATCTAAAACAGTGGCTACGCGAAACTGTATTTTAGCGTAACGTGGTTGTGGGAGAGAGGAAAAAACGGTCTGCGTAATAATTATACGTGGATATTCGAAACCGTGGTTGCCAAAAAAAAACCGTGATCGACGTGGGATTTCTCTACGCGAATGTGAAAACACCCCCCCCCCCCATTGTCGCGCCGTCAAACCCCAATGGTTTCAAACGTGTGTGGTCGGTCCCCACCACTCCCGATGTCTTATCGGCAAAAAAGTGAAGGGCACTCGTGGAATAGATAACATTCTTGACTTGAACAAGGTTACAAGAAGTCACAATAGGTGTTTTTGCTGTTGGTTAGACCACATACTGTATTGACCTGACCAAATCTGTGTCATCAAGACCCTCCACCACCCGACGCAGTCAGTGAAAAAAAATCGTCTTGCACGCGAGTGTTTAACAGCGCCCCGATTCATTATTGTTTGCAGCTCCCTGGTAAGTTGGACATCAATCTAACCACCAAATTAAGCAGTTACATACATCAATTTGCACCAAGGCATCATCATGCCTTATGATGAACGGATTGCAACACATTTCAAGTTTGATAAACTCAATATTCATGAACTCTGGTGTTTCGGGTTATATGACTCGAAAGTGGTATACATTCACTCGTTATAAGAGTGCACACAGCTCGTAAGACAGTGTCAATAACTATATCAGGTAGTAAATGTCTCATGCGAATTACTCGGAGAGTCTACCAGTCGTGTTGTGGGGCTGCTCTGCTAATTAACAAACTTGGCACATTTATTATGAGTTTTATTCATTTCAAGCAACTAACCACTGTCATCGTGGAATTACAAACACTGCATGTGCGTTGCAATGTTGAGCAACTTCCAGTAAAACCAAACGAAAGATCTAAAACTATGAACTTATTTCGGACTGTACGTAGCCAACCGTGCTAATCGGAAGTGAGGGGGAAGGACAACAAACTAAACACAAAAAAATCAGTTTTAAATAAATTCGTTTTCAATCTAGACTTTTTTAAATAGTTGTGTTTGCATTTGACAAAGTCATCCAAAATGCACCTAATCACGTTGGATCTTGGAAGATAAGCAGTATTTTGGAGCCTGGTTCGTAAAGAGACTCCTCTACTTATGAACATTCGACTCCCGAACTTTCAGAGATACGAACAAACCTGTGAGTTTGTCCAGTTGCCTGTTCGGAACCAGAATCGTAAGTCTAATCGCCGCACAATAGATGGCGGTGGTGGCATCTACATCTGCAGAACGTGAAGAACCAGTGGCATCTACATCAACACGACGTTATACAACTTGTAAAGCCATTCCCCGTGTTTAGTGTACATGCCGCACAGCACAACATGTTTGGACTTTGGAATCGATAGGAGTAAAGTTGGACTTACGAACAAATCGACTTGCGAACAGACCTCTGAAACCTAACTCGTTCGTAAGTAGAGGATTCCCTGTACTTGGACAGGTGCCACCAGGGCTTTGCCAGGTGTTGAAAAGTGGTGATTAGATGGCAGTGTTGAGTGTTACTCATCGCGAACGTGTGGGGGTTTTTTTTTTCCCGTGGTTGTCCACCCACATTAAGCCACACACTCGTTTCATAGAACTGGCCAAACAATCCCAATGCGAGACCCTGCTGAATGAATCCGTGTGAGGCTTTCCTGGTTAAATGACTGGCTGTATACGTCTAGAGAATACCTTTTTATTGTTTGTTGTTGTAACTCTGTGACCTGCCTCTACTGGATATATGTGAAAAAGAGCTTCATAGCTCATCGGATTTCTCCAGGATAAATCAATATTCTGATTCTGAAGTTTAATCACACTCTATTAAATGTAATATCCTCTTGATTTAAGAAGAACAACTTTACATGTGCTTTCGTAAAAACAGTCATATCATATTATAGCAAAAGCTGGATATAGGTACAATTCTCATATACACAACACATCCATATATTACACTGGTGGGGGCAACTTCTGATACAAGCACACTTCGCATATAATCACAATCTGGTCAAACTCCCAAGAAATGTGCTTATATCCAGCTGCTACCTCAACAACAATGTACATGACTGTGAGAAGCACATTTACAAACGGTACCAATGCGCCTGTGTCACCCACCAAACCACGGTGGGCTCAGGGTTGCCTCCAACAGTCACCTCCACGGTTACCGGCGATCCCTCAATAACCTCGGCGCTGGCGAGCGGCTGAGTGAAACGCGACGGCTGACCAGCCAGCTGGCACCAGGAGTGAGGTGTCAGCGCCAGCTGCGTCTCCTCTCTGACAAGGCCCCGCTCAGAGCTGCCGTCGTGTCCTAGGGCGGAGCCAAGTGCCGGACGTGGCGAAGTTTCAGGCACTGCGGGCGGCACCGGTCCACAGGGCCCGACGGGGATTTTGTTGAATGTAACCAGTTTAACGAAAGAAAAGTAAGGGCACTTAAAATTTGTCGCGCGTGAATCTTTCCCAAAGTCAATTGAGCTGGGCTCTGCTCGGACGTCCAGATTTAACGCGCCTTGGCTGTTGCCCATTGCAAACGGGCCAGCGGCACGTGCAGGAGCCTCAGCTTGAGCGTGGTTCGCAACAGAGCGAGAACGGGCATAACCACAGATGTGAGACGCACGCTCGAAATCTCTGCTGAAAACTGGCTCATATTCGCACACGCAATGGTCAACGATGCGCGATGACGACACGGGCCGTTCGATGCCACTGCCGTCGTGCATTTGTGCACGCCATCCCGCCATGCCGTTGTCAGTTTTCTGCCACTCTTGTGTGCAATGCTCATCCTCGATCGCTTTTTCACTGCGAGACGTGTGAGTCTCTGGGCTGCCATATTCAAGCAAGGCAGGCGCTGCTTTCGAAGACGAACACGCTTGACCGTCCAACAATTTGGAGCGTCCACTCTCTGGGTAAACAGCTGATGTGCACGATTTTCCATTTCTCAGGTGATGCTCCTTCTGGAAAAAAAGGGTTAATAAAATCATTAATAAAAAAATTAAACGAAACATTATTTCCTATAACAATATGCACACGTGTTTTCACCACTTATTTTTTTAAAATTCAACACATGTGCATTTTTTACAGCCCTTTGTCAAACCACTTCTGGATGAAGGCTTCCCCAAGTTGTAAAAAGTGGGTTATTTTGACCCTTACTTCACCCTTGCTGGTCAGTGCGAAATGTGAAGGGGGGGTGCGGGGGAGGACCAGGACTAGTTCAGATATCACTCACCGCGAATGTTAGCCATAACCAGGAATCGAACACAGATGACCTGTGTTCAGAGCACAGAATGTGCTACCACTTCTGACAGGACTCAATGTAATATAAACAATTTAATGTTTACCTTCTGAATATGTAATACGTTTACCTTTGGAATAATGTTATAAAAACATTTTTGATCAGTAAAACATACCTGCTCTCCCTCCTTGGGAGAGTCTTCACCATCATATTGTGAATTACTACACAATAGTGATGAAGTGGATGCATTCTCAGAAGACAGTTTAACGCTCTGCTTCTCATCTTGGCCAGACATTCTATTTGCTGCAATTTCCAAAGGATCTTTCAAGCCTGAAAATAAATCAGTTTGTCTTGCTGTTTCATCTTCAGAGGAACGTTTTTTAGAATTGTTTTCTTTTATATCGGCTACTGTCTCCCTGAGTACATGTCCCACAGTGCTTGGATTTGCTTCCGAAGCAGGATTCTTCGTATGTTCCTTTATTTCTTTCCCCTAAAAAAAAACATCAAAATGAGACAAAACGTGAACACATACTCATTCTCATGAAACCACCAAATGAGTTCATTGCATTTTAAAATGTCAATATCACCCATTTACAAACATTCAGTGTTTACTGAACAATGTTCACAGAGACTCCCATTCAGTCATTGGAACGGGTAAAGATGCACCCCTGCAATGACTTGCTCATGCCACCTCTGGTAGGATGGCTTCCACTATAAGAAGCTCTGGAAAACCGCTCAGGTGGGTATTTTGGCTTACTTTTAAATGCTGGACAGACATTTTGGAATTAATTGGGGCTCCACAGTGGCGAGATGTTAACTACTCGCCTGGTATACAGGAGGTTGTGAGTTCGATCCCGACCATGATGCCTGTATATTTGGAGTTTTCATGTTTTCACAGTGGTCATGAGGATTTTTCTCCGGGTCCTCCAGTTTTTCCCTCCACGTTAAGAAACATGTGTTTAAAGTATTTGGCTGCTATACATTTCTAAAATAAGCCATTTCCATTGGGCTACCATTTGTGGCCAGGCCACTTCTGAAAAAAACATATATAGCTCTGTGGGCCTTACCTGGTAAAATAAAACAAAAAATGTTTATGTTTTTTTATTGAGTTAACATGGTATACCCATTTATACCACTGAGACGACTGAGGTGGGGGTATTTAACCCTTTCCCGTTCCGAGACGTCTACAAGTTTGCAGGATGAGTCCCATTGACCGCTGAATCTCGGGAGGCGAAAGCGGTTCAGCATACATTTTATTTATAGAGGCGTACTAACCGCTGAGAACCATAGCGACACGGCCATATCCTAGAATAGCAGGCGGCAAACTGAGCCATACACCCTCCCGTATGGCCTTGTGGGAGGCCTCGATGCCGATAAAATATTGTTTTTAAGTTACTTTATTTTAACTGATGACATACAGGTACGTCATCAGAATGGGAAAGGGTTAAGAAACTTTCAAATTTTTCAACTGCCGTGCCACGAGACTGAACGAGTGACCTCTGCATGGCAAGCACAGTGGGCTAACCATTCCACAATGGCATCGGCATCCCTCAGTTTATTATCTGATACAAAAATAATAATGACATAATGTAACCTCATATATCGTTATGCAATTTGTTTACAAAGAGATTTTGCCCTTTTAATTAATGGAGGACTTAAAGAATGTAGGCAAATAATCTGACCATATACAACCATTTATGGTCATTTGATCGCGTGCAGAAAATGAGGTTAAATGCTTTCCTTGATTAGGATATTTTTTAGGTAACTTGAGAAGTTCAAACCGAAATATGCATTTCCCTGAAACAACTGCACCACCCATCCTCATCAAATTGCCATATCGTCATGGAAATTCATGAATGCTCCATACTAAGTATCCACTCAATTGCAGAAATTTATCTTCAAATAAATTACATTTGAAAAGTTGTTATCCCTGTCATTTAAATAAAAATTATATTCTCTAGTTTAACACAGCCTTTCGCGACCAATATCACCCATAATATAGGTTTTTTGGGGGTTAGATCGCGTAAATATCAATGTGTTGTTAAATCCTCCACCACCCAACACAGCTGGTTAGTAAGGTTTGTCACGTAAACAGAACATGCCAATTCGTTACTAGTACAGCACACCGGTGTAGGGAGATCAAATCCACAACGTTTACAATCCGAGTACGACATTTCACCAGTAATTACTATAAGCATCATCAGGCGGATAGCCAGATTCTGACGGGTTTAACGACACAATTATATGCATGCGATCTAACCCAAAAAAACCCCATATTATGGATGACATTCTCTAGTCAAACAATACGAACACAAATTTTAATGGTTTAGAAATCATCTAAACAAAAAGCTAAATATCAATGTATACCCTATTTACAACTACAGCTTAACGAACATTATGCTGTGATTATTGCACTGAGGTCTCCCCTGCAAAATAATTTAGTCTTAATGGGCTGTTGCTAGGTTTATTAAAAAAAAAAATCACTATTTCCATATATAATTTCTGCATATATCTATCAAATCAGTGTGTACTACGGGGCTGTTACATATGGTAAAGAAACACGGTCATGACCAAAAATAGGTACAGAAGCAGAAAAGTACATGGAGAAAGCATGGAGAAATAAGTGTTTGGAATTACATTTAGTAAGAGGCAGAGGGATACATTGGGTTCGAAACATAGGTAGTCTGAAACGTAATTCAAACTATTTTCAAAAGTAATTGCCCTTGGACAAGACACAGCCATTCGGAGGGATGATGGCCAATTGTCAAGAACAGTGAGAGAGTGGCAGACAAGGAATGGAACGCGCCAAAGACGTCGGCAGCCAGGATGAGATGAAGCGGTGAATTCAGTGAATGTGCAGGTCCTGGGTGGATCGTTCCATTGCAGAGCCATGAGATGGCGACAATGTGGGGAGGCTTTAATCAAACAGCAGACTGATAATGGTTGATGATGATATATAAATAGTTATCTCCAGAAAGCGGCGCATTGAAAAATACTGTGTATGGACTTACACGTAATATATCGCAGCCTTTCTTAATCCACTATTGGATGTCAGTTCGGGGGTGGGTTTGACAACACTTCACCACACTTGTTAGTGCGGGTCAGTGAAGGTTGGGAGGAGTGGACCGGTTCTGATATCACTTGCCACTGATGTTAGCCGTGACCAGGAATCGAACCTGGGTTACTGGGTTCATAGCACAGTGCGCCAACCACTGTGCCACTGCTGGGATCTTATTATTTTGCAAAGAATGGCATGACTAAAGCACTTCTAAAACTCTTAAGTTGTAACTAATCTGCTAAGAAGTGCAATTTGTGGCCTATCTGTTCCAAAGTTTTGTAATCTCTTTTCCACATTACTGTAAATTTATCACAAGTGGGTGCCACTATTACTTACACACACCGGAACATACTAATGCCCTACTACTGCTCGCTTGGAACACTTCTGCATGCTGAGCACGTTCCGTGTGGCATGTGTATAAAGCCTTAAATCACTTCAACCACCACTGCATGCAAGGTTACAGCAGCCTATATGTTACTTTAATGTCTGACTGGCAAACTATTGCTGTACGTATGTTAAATTTCTTTTGCACCGTACGTAGCCAATCGGAGGTGCGGATGTGTATTGCGCACGTTTGTAAATCTGTTCATGCAGACGTGCTGGCTAAGAGATGAAGTTAATCCGGTACAATGACGATGTCTAAATGTGCCGCGTTAAATCGGCACTGAATGAAATGTATGCAAACATCGATTGTACTTGACGCAATTGCTGAGCACCACCATTTATCTGGACGTATAACTGTATAAAAGGACAATGTTGCCAATACCAACCCAGCCATTCTGTTAAGATTACAGACAGTCGAAGTGACTTCATTATTACAGTTAATGAGATAATAATACGAGGCAAAAATACTAACTAATGATACAAATAATCCAGTACTAACCAAAGTCGTTTGACAGGTCGTGTATGGTTGGGTAGAGTGTGGCTACTTCCACCTCGTCCAAGATGTCTGCCTCGTGTGGAAGAGTAGGCCAAAAGCCTCCGAGTAGAACTCTCTAGAGCCCTCACATGGCCGCACATTTAACTTTTACTTTAAAAACTAAATGTTCATATGTTAACGTTCAGCCGAGTCCTCAGTTGTATCCAAAGTAAAAGATGTACATGACCTCGTGGGTTCTGATCTTACACGCGGTAAATAATTTAATTAAACAGTTCAGAAGACAACAGCATATATTCCACCGTAGCACTCTAATTTAGTCAATTGTAATCTGCTGTCGTTCAATAAAGTACCTCGACACGGGGTTCAAATGTGAAGCACAATATCAGAATAAATTATGGTTTATTATTCTCCGCAATCATCATGGTTTTAAAGTTGTAAGGTCAGCATGTTGACCGATGTAAAATGCACCTTCGTTAGAAGTTTTTCTTCAAGTCCTCTTATTTCATTGCTCGTTTTTCTGATCGACGTCATTATTTCATCGTGTTGGGTCCTGGTTTTTTCGATGTACTTTTTACTTTCCTCAGGGCCTACAAAACATCAGCAGAAAAATGCGTATATAGAAGGTATTTTGTTTGTTAGTCGGTAATAATAACACAATTTATAACGCGCGCAATGTTGCGGACCGAAGACGCAAATTCTGAGGCGCGTAGCCGAGCTCAGCCTCGGATCACGTAGCGCGATTCCAGGGAGACTCGCTGGTTAAATGTCGAGCCGAAGAGATGCGCCTATAGGTTGTTTTTGAACATAGATGACGGGGGGCTGCGACGGAGAAACGACGAGAAGCAATTACAGTCCTTGTCCTGGGGGTGTTTCTAGGAGGTTCTGCCACGCACTGCGAAAGTTCCTACGATTAATTGAAGTGTAAGGGCGTCAACAGAGAACTTAGGTACGGTGGGTAGGCGGATTTCAGGGCGCAGTAGCAGAGGCAAGCAATCTTGAAGGTAATTCGGCTCGAAATGGGCAGCCAATGAAGGGCACGAAAGATGGACAGAGTCAAGGTGAGGGTTGCGGGGGCCGTGGACAACTCCAGATTCATTCCACTAGTCTACCTTTTATTAAACAAGATTATCAAGTATATCAAACTGACGGTCTCAGATCAGTTACTTATGACTGTTTAAAAAAAAAAACATACAAATAAACGGTGGCTTTTAACTCAATTTCGCAAATTTAGCCCTGAAAATCAATAAATAAAACTACAATTTTGCTTTACTGCCACGTGACCAACATCAGTGCAGCAGGGTTGAGTAGGAACATGTGGCACCATCGTTGTGAAAGAAATGTCACTTGATGGGATCTCAGAAGTAGTTCCGTGATATCACCATCCACGAGCCATTTTTCAACATGGGGCGAGGCACTTCACTGAGAGTTCCCAAATATTATTTCCTCCATGACAGTGATGGCACAAACACACAGCAGGCCAAAACTATACATTTCATTTTTTTTTACTTCACTTGCCGTAGACACGGAGAGCAAGGTCTTCAATCAAGTGCATCCTCTCCTCCTGCTCAGGAACCGTAGGCCACAAGAACAAGTCGAATTGGCGGCCTAGCATTACCATGCCCTCGCGAGTCTTGCACTCGGATGAAAACGTTCTCACGCGCGCGATGGTGGACACGGTTTCCTCGCACCAGAAGATACTCTGAATGAGCAACACAAACATATGATTATTTGATGCTCGATGGTTGGCAATTGTACCGCAGAACAAGTCACAGGTCTTAAGACCCTTATACCTGGCATAGTACTGGCGCAATCATTGTCCTTAACTCGGTGGTACAATTGCACAAATGTGGACAAAGTTCGATACGGTGTTCTAAATTAGTTATTCAAACATGCTAAACTTTTGTGGAAAATGCAGTGGTTACGCTGAGAGCGTTTGGTGACGTAATAAAATAACCAAATGGTTTTGTGTTTCCTAAGAAATCATCAGCTTTTAAATGAAAAGAACCGCGGGCTCACATCCTTCATGGCGTCCTGAAGTTGGATGGTTAACTCCAAATTACATCTGTATTCCTCCACAACCCTTTCCAGCTCGGATACATCCTTGTTCAGCTCCACTGTGTCTGCTTTCAACTCCTCCGCCCTGTTCAGCAGTATCTCAGCGCTCTTGTGATTCCACTCCCCCACTTCTCCACCTGGTGCCAAGCACTCCTGTCCCACCAGTTCTCCAGGTGCTCCCAGGTTTCCCCGTTGCCCTTCAACTTCATTTACATTGCCAGCGAGATCGCGCTCATTCGCTTGAATCCCCTGAGGCTTTATAGTACAGGCCTCGCTCCAATTATTCAGCGTATCTGTCAGTTTTTCTTGGAAACGCTGCCATCGCAATTTAAATGCCTAAAGTTTTGGTAGGAGGGAAGGAAACAGCTTAGTACAAAGAACAAATTATCTTTAGTAAATGTTCATATACAAGTAGTTTTGAAAGTGCAAGCTGAAGAACAAAGATGTGGTGAACATTAAAATAGTTGCATGAGATCATTCTTTGGTTTCTTATTCAGCTTTATGAGAATCAAGACTTTTAATAAACAGATGCTTCTCTATATTAGTTATACACGTAAACAAGTACAAGTATTAGTTCAGTAATAGGATACAGTCCATTCTCAATCAACTGCTGGATGAAAGCCTCACCATGTTGTGTCTATCATGGGGGGATTTTGACCATACTTCACCACACTGGCCAGTACAGGTTGGTGAAAGGGGATGCGCACGAATGACCCGTTCAGATATCACTCGCCACTGATATCAACCTTGGCTGGGTTTCGAACTCGGACTGTTTAGGTTCATAGCGCAGAGTTAACTTTTGCATATACTTTGTAAAAAAAACTAAGGTTTAGTGCGATGCACAAGTTATCATGTTGAATGCATTATACTCAGCATTGTTAACCAACCCTTATGTACCGGCAGCTTCTCCATGTACATCTCCACTTGTTGAACCTGATTTATTGCCGCTTTAGCTTTGCGGGATTTCTCAGGCTTTTTCATGTAGTTAAACCTCAAGTTGTTGAATTTCCTCTTCAAATCTCGGTAGGATTCTGTAAACTACACACACATTTATAAGCACAATAATATTATTTATATAATAATATACATTCCTTTGTTAAAAATACTGCCAGATAAATGCCTCTATGGGGGGTGGTTGGTCATAATTTACATTCTGGTCAGTCTGGGTTTGTGAGGTTTGGGGCCAGGACCCATTCAGATGTCCATTCTCCACTGATGTCAGCTGTAGTCAGGAATCAATCTCAGGTCGCCAAGTTCATAGCACAGTGAATAAACAAATGTCGCTGCTCCCCCCCCCCCCAGTGTATAACAAGATGGGGTAGTTGAGGCCCTGTGGAATAGGATGAGAAAATATGCACTAGCTTATGTGGTTACCTCTTTACCTGTTTAACATTATTCCATTTATCAATTGGCTAATTAAATGATGAAAAGTATGTTTGTTGGGCAATGCTAGAGAAACATTTCCTAAACCTACATTTTTCTCAAGTGGATCATTGTACCGTAAATTTTCCATTATTTTTATCCCAATGATATTCGTGAAACAACATATATGCACGCAATAAGAGGCGAACAGACTTGTAAATCTCAAAGTCACTCTGTCACTCTTTTTCAATTGAAAGATGATTGATTCATTATTCGACGACGTGAGGTATTTCATTTATGTGTAAACACAACAATCCTCGCATTAAATGGGCCGTGTCGTTTTTAGTCCTATTCCCTGGACTGTGTAAATAACTTTTCCTACAAATATTTATTCACGAAGCAAAAACCCCATCCATACAACCGGAGCTTTCGCACCTCCTTCAGTTCTTCACGGGTGGCGCAGAGGTTGAGGTTCATTTGAAATGTACGTTCCACCGCGAGACCTTTCCTGCTCCACTCTGTGCAACGTTCGGCCAAAACATCAGCAGCTGACGAAAGCTTCTCTTGGCGAGCGACGCATGTTACCGTCCACTGAAAATGAGTACATCGGATGGTGTTGGTTATTTACCATCCGAACAACATGTATACAACACGGCCACACTCAATGGCATGCAGTCGCAACATTGTACGGCACTTATGTAGGCAGTTTTCCTACACGGTGCATTTGATATTTCGTTCGAAAGAATTCCGGCAAAAAGCAGGTAAAATTTACTTTGTCTTCAGCGTACGAATACATTTGCAGCAATCAAAGATACAATCAAAGATTGTCGTGTGGATTGACAATTGGGCACCTTATGGTAATATTCAAATGTACGTAGGAAATTAATGAATCATTCATCAAAAAAACGTAAGAAGCAGCTTTTTCATGTCAACTAAATCTCTACTTTATACCACCAAACAAGCATTAATTTGTAATTATAGGCACATAGCCAAAGGGGGAAAAAAACGCGTGGCAAATGGACCCTGCCAGCACTTCAAATGACGCAACCACGTGTCAGATCACAGAGACCACGTGTCAGATCACAGAGACCACGTGTCAGATCACAGAGACCACGTGTGAGATCACAGAGACCACGTGTCAGATCACAGAGACCACATGTCAGATCACAGAGACCACGTGTCAGATCACAGAGACCACGTGTCAGATCACAGAGACCACATGTCAGATCACAGAGACCACATGTCAGATCACAGAGACCACGTGTCAGATCACAGAGACCACATGTCAGATCACAGAGACCACGTGTCAGATCACAGAGACCACATGTCAGATCACAGAGACCACGTGTCAGATCACAGAGACCACATGTCAGATCACAGAGACCACGTGTCAGATCACAGAGACCACGTGTCAGATCACAGAGACCACATGTCGCACGACGAGGATTGAACCCCTGCTGCCACAGCGTGTGTGCGTTTTCGAATCCTGTTTTCATTGGTTTTTTGTTTTGTTATTTATTCGACAAGAGCCCGGTAAAAGGCACAATCCGTTATAAAGAAAGGGTGGGAGGGGGGTGGGGGGTACGGAATTCCGGGGACGATAGTCCGAACTCGGTGCTCCTGGGTTCTGGGAAAGAGGGAAGAGTTTGGGCTCACTGCCCCACTCACGTAGTAGGGACTGCCTGCGAGTGGGAACGAAGGGGTATTTTTATACAGGTAGTCCCCGAGTTACGATGGTCCGACTTACGATATTTCGATCTTACGATGGCGATAGCGATACGACAAAATTGGCATCAGCAACCTAACATCGTTCAAGTGTGCAGACGACGGACAGAATCTTGGTGAGTACAGTAGAATATGATACGTTACGATACGTTCAATGCATGTATGATACGTAGCTTTAGCGATTTCATTTTAGGGTTGCCACGATACGATACATACGTTCAACGCATGTTCAAAGTTTTTTAAAGCAGATAGGATTGTTTCCTGAATAAACTTTCTATTAAATTGCAGTTCATATAGGTAGGCGAAGAATTTACCTTGGTTTTTTTTTACTTTACATTTTACTGTGCAATACAGTATTGTAATTAATAAACACATACAGTATATAGTTTCTACAGTACGGTACTGTAAATTGCTCTGTTTTGCTAAATTATCACCGTTGTTTAAGACTCCTGGGTAGGCTAAGGCCATCTTCGACTTACACGATATGTTTGACTTACGATGGTGGTGGTCGTAACGCGTCTCCATCGCAAGTAGAGGACTACCCTGTATATGGGGGAATGGAAGGCAATGGAAGAGGAACAAAAATAAATGGGAAAAGGTGGTGGGGGGTGGGGGCAATGCATTTTTGAGTCTTCCCAACCGTCTCACCGAAGTGGTGACAATGTCTGCGATGAGCGAGAGGGCAAGGCCGCAGAGGTTCATGACACGCGTTCGCTTCTCCTGCCAGTGCGTCAGGAGCGTCTGTGCATGCGTGATGTGGTGAGACGGACAGGCGGAACTCCAACTTTGGTCCAACTCCTTGGACCAGTCGAGTCTGTGCAGCTGTGACAACACACACAGCGGAGTTGTGGGACATCTGTCACGACGGATCAATAGCTACACAGTGAAGGGTATACATTTAGTGACGAGTCAGAGAGACTGGCTTTTTGTTCATTGCATACATTTATATGCCCTAACGTGACAAATAAGCTATGGCACTTAGAAAACAACGAACCAATCACCAAGAAATTATGTGAAACTAAGCACAGCATGGGAGCCTGTAATTGGTTAGATCCTCTGTAGAGGGCAAGCAGAGGTTATATGAATTATTATCTTTTCAGGACAAACTGCACTCGTGCTGGAAATTAAAATGTATAAATAGGTATACGCATTGCACGCGAACAAAAAGCTTGGTGATCACAATATTCACGAGCGTGCATTTCGTACAGCTCAATTTAATTCGCCAAGTGTCTTTAACTGTGCGTGCATTGCATAGCAAAGGTAAAACAGCAATGTTGTTTTGTACCATCTACAGGATCAGGCGATGAAAAATCCACAGGGAACTGCCACAAAGCTCCAAATTAGAAAACATGTCTAGCCACAAGTGATTTTTTTCTCTCTATATAATATGCCTGCAGTGTGCCATAACGATTTTAAGTACATTAACGAAACAGTGCAAATAGACATTTCTGTCATACAGCAGTCTGGAACTTCACGGAATTAGTACAATCGAACTATAATTGCAATTATACCTACATAGCGGGTTCAATTAATTAAATGTATGAATGCTACTGAAAATCACCTACTTCACTTCTTCATCACATTCTGTTTCATGCTATGGTAGGCAAAATAATGGTGCAGTGCTAATAGCAATATAACCATAAAATGTCAAGTTATATGTTTGCAAAACGGAAACGCAGTTGTGAAAATGCAGAATTCGCTTTGTTTATCATCAATTGTTTTTCCGTGGGTTAAACATTCCCCATCCATTAACGAGCATGAAAAAAATAGCAACGTTTCATTTATATTCGTAATATTAAAAATAAATAAATCCTCAATCTCATTACGCTCTCACGATCTCTCTCATTGGGTTTCAGGTTGGGAGTCATTGCCCCTTTACTTCATCAGTGACTTGATGCAACTTGGCAGCCATCTCCAGAACACGCTGACTTTCATTGATTTGATGTCTGACCCGGCAGTGCAATGCCATCAGATCCGAGATGCCCGCTTCTGCTTCTTCACAATGCACACCGCAAGCTGCCAGCAGGTTCCAGGCCATCTCCAGATATTCCACGTCCGCACTTATCCCCTGGAAGCCACAGGCAAACATTAATGTGTTAGGGGGGGAAAGGAGGGGGGGGGGCGGTCAGCAACGGGATTGTGTTTGCTCGAAAAATTATAAATATCCGTGGAGTGTACCTGAAAACCTGGCCTGGCCTGTCGGAGAGCAAGGAGGAGATGGACCACAGCTTGGCGATCTTGCTCGAGGTCTACGCTCGATAGCGGAACGAAAAGGTCTTCCACTTTCTTCAATTTAGATATTGTCTGGAAAGACCACAAAAAATGGCGATTGTAAACGGTTTAGTGTATGACTTATTCATGAAGTAACATGTAAATAGAAACCTGTTGACAGTACAGAGCAAGTGCGCACCAAAAACATGCAGCTTATTCTTTTTTATTAACATTTCATGCATTAAGACAGCCACTTCAAAGGTACTCATTTACCTTCTGTATCATCTCTTGAAGTTCCTTTAAATAATTCTGGTGTACAGACCTGGCCCAACCTAGTGTGACGTGGAAAGACATCCACAGCTCAATTAGCCGTAACTTTTTCTTCATTAGCTCCTCCGTTGCGGACTCGACCACGGTCACCATGTTCTTCAAAGGCATCTGTGTACTTGGCGCAACCTAAAAAAACAAATCACATTGACCATGCGAATAAAATCAGAATATTTATTTATGCCCGGAGAAATCCGATGAGGTGTAAAGCTCTTTTTTTTTCACAGATGCCTAGGAGTTCACAGATGTCTAGTAGTTCAAAGATGGCCAGCATTGAAACTGCTGGCGAATGGGGGAAGCCCTTGAGAGCCCCTCTAGAGCAGTGGTTCTTCAGTTTAACTACAGCCTCACACCCCTTTGGTGAAACAAAGTAGTCGTACTAACGTGCCTGTGCTTAATTCGTGTTTCGATGATTTGCTTTATATAAAAAAAAATCTGACCATGTCTCGCACCCCCAGAAAGGGAATCTCGCACACCCCCAGAGTAGGCCGGGAAATTCGGTCTACTCTTCCACACTGGTCAGACCTTGCCAATTGACTAAGCTTCGTGTACCCCATTTATACTTCTGTGTGGACAGAGGCAGGGAGGGATGAAATAAACTTGCACCGTTTCAATTGCTGCCACGCGGGGAGATCGAACCGGCAGACTCTGGACTGCGTGCGCTATCCGTTACACCGTGCTGTAACGGTTACAGCGCGGCAGTATCCGACTTGACCGCGCATTATTTTCCAATCAATCAATCAAGACACAATGCGCCCATGATTAAATGCGGAAATCGTGCAAATGCCATACCAGCGCAACAGCTGTGATGAAGCCAGAGTAAAGGTCGCGTGAGGACGCCATCGCATTCAGGATCGTCCTCCACTTGGAATTGCCTTGCTCCACCAACATCGCCCGCTCCTCGTGCCCGACGTTCGTCAACTCGGCCTTGCAGAAATCCTCCATTGACTTCAAGCGTTCGCCAATCTGTGAAAGGGGGGAGCGTCACGAAGAGTGAATTCACGCACAAGCGTCGCCTGTCGTCCCACGGCCTCCATTCGTCTACGAACAGGGTTGCGACCTTCCATCCGCGTTGTTGTTGATATTTCATGAACACGAGGAATCCTGTTGTTTGTGATTCCTCAGAATTGGTATTTAGACAATGCAACCACCGGATAGGAGTGCAAAGTATAGGACACGTAAGCAAGTCACAAATAAATATATAAACATAAATATACAGTAAAATATATAACTACAAATTACAAAACTACATAAATTCCTGCCGATTTTTCAGCAATAAACGCAAGCTTGGGCAAGGAAAATAAAACTGCACATTAAAATTGAACAATCGACACATGGGTAAGGATCAAAGTTAGAAATCACGTTGGCAAATATGTGCAATTACCTCTGTGGATATACGCAAGTACAGCCACTTTGATCAATCTACTACTGGAGGAGGCTCCCCGCCAATGCCATGCATGACCACACTTTACAATGCTGGTCAGTGCAGGTAGGTGAAGGTAGGGAGCATAGACTTGCGAGGGTATTACAGTACAACGGTGGATTTTGTTACAATGCTCTCTGCTGCCCATGATGTAGCTCAAACACCACAGTACAGTACTATTGTAGAGTAAAATGCAGTAATTGTAAACATAAAAAAAACGTTTCGATTTAAGGCTTTCGTGACTGCGCTGTCTTTCCATTGGATCGCTGTCTTTCCGACAGTTCTGTTTCTTCACCTGAGGAAGGCTACTTGTGTTGTGGCCGAAACGTCGTGAGAATTTAAATTTTATTATGTTTTATTTTTATTATTTTATTATTATTCCCCTTCTACGTGATTTTACCGAAAGAACCAAGATGATAAAAAAAACGTGTTCAATTAAAACACGTTTTAAGGGAATTTATTTGAATTTTATTTTTATTATGTCTTGGTTCTTCTCTCCGATATTGCGCATGCACCGTCTATGGAGACAACATTTACAATGAAATGCACGTCATTCATATGCAAATATGAGACATCTATAAATGCAATTCATTCTAACCACAACGTACAGAACACGCAGCCAATTTGACAGTGTTGTACAGTGGAGGAGAACTCCTCTTCTCTACAGCCCTATATTACCCGCAACTCCACACTATTTATTCCCATTATCCCCGATTTTACCAAAAATTCATAGCGAAGCGGCTTGCTAATATTCGCGTATTTTTTTACTCAGATAACAGTTACTGCGCAGAAAATTAATCCTGTTATCCGCGGGGTTATCCGCGATTTTCTACCCCAATGGATAGTTCAATTCACGGATAGCCACACAGATAATACAATCCGTTATATTGATCCCGCCATATATCACCGCGGATGTATGTTTGTTGAACTTCTTTCACACCGTACGTAGCCAACTGTGCAAATCGGAGGTGCGGGACGACAACAAACTAAACACAAAAAGCAGTTCTTAAGAATTGAGCTTTCCATCTAGATTTAAAAGTGCACAGCTCCCGTGGTTTCACAACTGCAGTGGTTTCCATACTCTTCATATCGGAAGGAAATGCGTTCCGTACGGCCGCAGAAGCGCATCTGAAGGCACACGATGGAGTGACCGTCTTTGTTCGATGGCTATCCGAAAGCCGCTGCTGCGAGGATGGCTGGATTTCGTGTGATGGTCTATGCTCTTTGATGAGATCCAGCGAGGTAAAAAGATACGAGGATTTCTCCGGTAAATTGTAATTTGTGCCATCAGATACGACGAAGAAAATCAGCAAACGTGTCACTGCACAGTCTCCTGTGACTTTACTTGAGTAGAAAATGCAAATCTGCGTAGGTATGGGTGACGACCCTTTCTCATACCTCTTTGGCTGAGTTTAGAAAGGCCACATACGCCTGTATGGTTTCTGTACGCTCCTGTAGGTCCCAGTACATGCGGGTCCAACGCTCACGCAATCGGGCAACTTTCTCTTCAAGCGCCTCCATATCAGGCGCCTCCAGCTGTCGCAGCTGCGTGATGAGGTCCGTGATCTGATCGAAGCCACCGGCAATATCCTGCCAAAGACACAGATTTAATTAGCGCCACGGCAAGTGCCTCTATGCGCGCAGCCACATAGTTCATGTGTGGCAGCAACGGGTAATTACAAGTGAATTAACTTTTTTGGCACGGATTAATAGCAACGACTTTATTAATAATTCTAATTTATAACGCGCATTTCATCCTCGGATCCCAATGTGCGATGCATGAAAAGCAGGAAACAGGGCAACCGACTAAACTAAAGAGGGAAGGCCACTTTAAAGGTTTTCAAAGCAGACTTGAATATATGTACCGACTCTGATTGCCTGATTTCAAGTGGTAGGGTGTTCCAGAACTTAGGTGCCACGCTAACAAAAGCCCGGTCACCAAAAGAGTGTCAACGTGTAAACCTGGAACTGCTGAGCAGTTGGAGATTTGAATCAGATGCAGCAGTTTTACATGCGCATACTAGTAAACATGGAACGTTGGGCCAACGCTGGTCCAACGGTTCCAACAACGTGCCAATATTGGCTCAACGCTGCATGTTTACTGGGGTAAATATTATACCGTAATGTCTAGGAGTAATAAAATCCAATCAAGCAACCCCATGCTAGGTATACATGTTATGAATCCAAGAAGAATGTTAACCACTAATATCTCATAATAGGGTTTTTCCCCTTTTTTTCTGGCAACAAAACTGAAACCTTTTTTTACAAGGATTCATGTCTGCATTAACCACAATACCTCCAGTCAAAATGCAAAAAAAAACATACTATGATAATATATGCATTGTCCTTAAAACTGGTTGGTCCACACCAAGGGACGGCTTTCTTTTGAGCCTCGACCCAATTGGTGCTCGACCAGATTCGCCTTTTGGCGTCATCTGGTCGAGCACCAATTGGGTCGATGACGCCTTTTGGCGTCATCTGGTCGAGCACCAATTAGGTCGAGGATCAAAAGAAAGCCGTCCCTTGGTGTGGACCAACCAGTTTTAAGGACAATGGATATATTATCATAGTATGTTTTTTGTTTGCATTTTGACTGCAGGTATTGTGGTTAATGCAGACACGAATCCTTGTAAAAAAAGGTTTCAGTTTTGTTGCCAGAAAAAAAGGGGAAAACCCCTATTATTACATTTTGGTACTGGCAAAGGAGGTCTAATGATGTAGACACTAATATCTCTTTTCAGTTTCTACAATAGAGAGACGCTCGTTCAGTCAGATCGTACATCCCTCTGTATCTTCTTCATCCACACGTGATCTACACATATCACGTGCACATCAAATGGAAGTTCCTGACCTCTAGTTGCAACACGAGTACATTTACATCTTCAACATGGTGCTGTTGCTGTCTTGTCAAGAGACGAATAACCCACTCAGAACGCTGAAAGCAGTGTATCCTCTCCTTTTAGTAAACAGCCCACGGAGGCGGATATCATAGCACTACGGCTGAGAAATAAATCCCAAGCCAGCCTGCACGACTGCATTGTTTAAAATATACATTAGTTTTAATACAAAAAAACAATAGAATAACTTTATTGATGCAACACAATCAAGTTGCATCACGAGCAGTAAAGACATAGAACTGTCTGAGTTGGCCATGGAATGATGGCTTGCTAAAGTGATCAAAAGCATTTGAAGCATTATGGTGATAACATATGACCAATAATGCCTTTTTGCAGCACATTATGACTTGCTCAAGAAAGTATTGATATTGTTAATTGTTGAAATTGGCATACTGGCACATATATATGGGACAGCTACATTAAGCATAGACAACAACTTTGTTTGCGCGTACATATTGTCAGCCTATGCATCGCCTACACAGACTGTTTGGGGCAAGTGTTGTTTGCGAGCATCTATTCAGGCCAGGAGACAGCTTGGCCAGAAACCACACCCACGCCTCTGTCTCTCCAGTACAGGTGTATACACCACACCAGGTACAGACAGTCCCCCGGGTTGCGGAAGCCCTGACTTACGGAGATCCGGACCTGCTCCCCATAAACCATGTTAAAAAAAAAAAATGTAAATACGCGGATATTTCGATTTAAAGCTTTCGTGACTGCAAGGATTCATCTTCTTTGGTTCTTTCGGTAAAGTCACGTAGAATGAGAATAAAATAATAAAATAACACAATAAAATTCTCACGACGTTTCGGCCACAACGCAAGCGGCCGAAACGTCGTGAGAATTTTATTGTGTTATTTTATTATTTTATTCTCATTCTACGTTACTTTACCGAAAGAACCAAATAATACGCGGATATTGTCACGTTAGTTACGTGAGCTCAAGTAGTCCAGCGCGGAGGAGGTGTGAGGCGGCCTTACGCCTCGCTCCAGCTTCACTGGAATTAAGGTAAATGGAATTTATCTTTGATTTTGGGGAGGAAATTGTTCAGTTTCCGACATAAAGAAAATTCGGGTTACAGATCGTTCTTGGGAACCTTTCCCTTTCCTAACCCGGGGACTGCCTGTACTCATATTAAGGCTGAGTCTACCTAGGGGAGGTGCAGTTCAGGCTCAGATATTCACCACTTCTCTCAGCTGTGCGTGGGAATTGAACTCGGGCGATCAAGTCTGCAGTGTGGTGCTCATGCACGTGCACAATGTATGCAATTGTACATTGCATGTATACGTTCCGCAGGCACCAAATGGTTAAATTGCAGACATGCTATTTTAAGTTATCTGTTTCTGCACAAGAGCTCTATTTAAATGCAGAGCACCTTGCCTCGGACATGGTGTACAGGACCAGGTGCACGGCGTTTAAATCACGAGATTCCAACACGAAGGGTGGCATAGGGTGATTCTGTTTGTTGTTACTAAGTCAACAAAAGTAATGTTTACATAAAAAAAAATCTGTACTGAAGGGGTATTATCTTAAATTATAATTACAAACAGGCAGTAAACATCATGGAATTCAAGGGACTTCATGAGAGAAAGCAAAGCTCACCTCTATTCTGTTTATGATTAAATAGAGAGGTGAATGAGGAGCAAGGTTTGAGTGCAATTGGGAAGCTGAACTTCATAACAGAAATCAGTTGGTATATATGTATGTTGAACTTCTTTCGCACAGTACGTGGCCAACCGTGATTATCGGAGGTGCAGGGGAAGAACAACAAACTAAACGCAAAAAGCAGTTCCAAAGAAATGAGTTTTCAATCTAGATTTAAAGTGCATAGCTCCAGTGGTTTCCTAATATCGTGAGAAGAGCGTTCCAGACGTCCGCAGAAGCGCATGTGAAAGCGCAAGATGCGGTGGACCGTCTTTGTTCGATGGTTAGCCAAAATCCACCACGAGGATGGCCGGAGTTTGCGTGATGGTTTCTGCTCCTTGACGACATCAGCAAGGTATCGTGCAACCCTGTAATGTATTCGTTCAGCAACCAGAAAGCCAGCTCAGCGAGCACCGGATAGGCATGGTCGGATCTTGCAGGACCCGTCACGACGTGGATAAGAAACACGGGCGATGGAGCGATGTAAACGTCCTCATGTGCACTTGCTAGATGGATTGTTATCGAAGGATTCAGGAGGCCTTCATCCAGAGGTACAGTAGAACCTTGGATTGCGAGCATAATTCGTTCCGGAAACGTGTTTGTAATCCAAAGCACTCGTATATCAAAGCACTCGTATATCAGTTGTGATCACGTGACGCTCGGCAGACAAAGCGTATACGTACTGCTCGTATTGCAAGACGCTCTCGCTCGTTTATCAAATTAATATTTATTTTTAAAAAAAATTGCTCGTCTTGCAAAACACTCGCAGACCAAGTTACTCGCAATCCAAGGTATTACTGTATATTGATAATGGCTGATGACGACATTCTATTTTCAATGCTGCGCATGTCGTAGAAATTGTTAAAATAGAAATAAGGTGGTCGAAACGTGGCTCTGTACATGACAGCTTTAAACCGAGAAGGATGTGCGAAACAACACACCTTTGATAGGTCCATCAGGTGCACGTGTTGGTCCAGGATGTTTTCATATTCAGAGGAGAGCACATCACATTTACTTTTCAAAACAGGTTCATATTTAGTTTGAAGGCTGCCGGTGACCTACGATGAGAAGAGAGCACAAGGGAACAAGAATCATGAGGAAGCTATCAAAGCAAGCAGTGTATTCTGGACACATTAACCCCTTTCACTCCGCAATTAAGGAGCAGATATAGTCCGCGAAGCAATCAACAAACGCCGCCACCGACGGCCCAAGATGCAATCATATCAACGCGCAATTCATCTCAGTTACTTTGCCATGTTTCACCATTGATCAATACCGACGCAATTTTTCTTATTCGTGGATGTGCAACGATCGACCGAAAATTCGATATCATGGGGGGGGGGGGGGGGGGGGGGGGGGGGTGGGGCGGAATCCTCTCTCTCTCTCTCTTCCCCTGCGAGCATTTGAGTGATGGACCAACGTTGACCTTTTCGAGGAGCTCTTGAAGGAGACACAGCAGACGCTGCCGCTGCAGGCGCAGCTCCACGGGCGCCGTGCACGTGGCCTCCAGCCTCTGCGCTCGCCGCTTCGCGTCGCCCAGCGCCCTGTGCGCTCCTTCCATCCCGCCACTGGAATTCGGCACGCGCAGACACAACAGCAAAGATACCCCCCCACCACCACCACCACCATCCTCCCCAAACGTAGCGGTCAACAGACTGCTGCGGCAAGCGCCCAGGAAGGCAGGGGACGGCACGTTGAGGCGGTGGAGTCGCCAGCATGACGCCCGGTGGCTATTGTTTACCCAGTGCTGATGTCTTTTTTTTTTCACACATACTGCACCAGGTACTATTTAAGGCCGAGTTGACCTCGGGGAAGCCCAGGATCTGTTCGGATATTGTTAGTCGCTGATGTTAGCCGTGTCCGGGAATGGAAACGCAGCAGCACAGTGCACCATCATGCTATCCCTTCATATACATGCACACACACATGCATGCATACACACACGTGCACATGCATGTACACACAAACACATATGCATGCAAGCACACATACAACACTTGAAAGCAAGTGCTATTAGCGAGCACCTATGAATGCCGGCATGGTACACGAGGGGGTGGGTGGCTCGCACCACGCCCGACCGCCTTTGTCTCCCAAGTGGCACTGTTTTTACACATCGCACCAGGTACTCATTCGAGTCGGCCTAGGGGTGGCCTAGAACCTATTCAGATAATCGTCACTGGTGTTGACCGTGAGCGGGAATCAAACTCGAGTCAGCAGGGGTTCGTAGCAGAGCACGCTAACTGCTACACTACCACTCCCATCCACACACACACAAAGACATACACAAAAATATACAGACACACCAGCAAGGCAAACCAAATGCAACATTGCCAAACTATAACAGGGGCACGAAGCATACAAAGCATGCATTATTAATGAGCAGGGGCTCACATGTGTTTGATCAGGCATTCAGTTTCATTGTAAGGAAGAAACTATAATTGGAAATTATTGAAAACCCAGATACTATACCCTTTCATGAACGAATATTAATACACACACATCACAGTGGTGGTTCAATGTACGATTCAGTCTAATTTTACTTTAAAAGCATGACACATAAACAAATTAAGGTGCGTTGCAAATGCATGAGTTTTATTTTTTTGAAGATGGCTGTTTAGAATTTTAAGACAAGCCAATAAAAAATGTAAGGACAGTCCAACATCTTTAAATAGGCTGGAATTTCAATAAAAGCGATGCAATGGCATTGAGGTAGTAGGGTTTAAACAATGCAATATACTTCAAGACCGGATACCTAAAGAAAAGTTATTTTAAAATATATGGCAATCCCAATGGATAAGTAATGAGAAATTACGTTAAAACTGATACTCTACGACCAAAATTAAAGATGAAAATAATTTTACAATTATTTGCGTATTCGTAAACGGAAGCTTATCGTAAACAAAATCGTGTAACAGTACAACATTGTGGTCCTTCCAAACACTGCCAATGTACAGAGCATAGCTGATTAACCTGTCCTGCTACCCCTTCACCAATGCGTGCTGACCAGCGTAGTAATATATGGTAATTGCTTGTCAAAGCAATGCAAGATATATTTTATTTAAATGTAGTACCTCCACATTTTAGTCAATCGGCACATTGCATGTGATGGGGTAAAGTGTGGGTACTCCCACATATCCCAAGACGTCTTGGCACAAGCATAAAAGAGAAGGTCAAAACACCCTCGAGAGTGGAGGTCCTTCCGTCAGCAGTGGCATGAGAAATGAAATTGCACCTTTATCTTTTCCTTTTCAATACCTCATTCCATCTGCTGCTGCTGCCAGAAAATGCTTGCCCTTGTCTGTAGCTTCGGCGATGACATCCCTAATGGCATTTGAGATGTCCTGCTGTTCCTTAGCCTGAGCTGCCAGTCCTTTTGAACTTGACTTGATCAACTCAACCTGCGTTTCCAGTCTGGCCAGCGCATCTGAAGCCTGCCAAAGGTTCGTTGGAATGGGCAGGACACAAAGCAAAGATAACTGAATGCACGCATTAATTTGCATTGAACCACAGGGCATAATTGTCAATTTGCATTTGGACTACAAGATTTCAGAAGCAGGCTAAATCAGCGGATCCGAATGTTTCCTCGCATTGAAAGTCAGACATAAACGGGTTGGTGATTATGCAGCATTTATATTGTTATATTGTAAAACTAAATGCCTTAAAAGCTAAACCATACAGAAACCCTTATTTAAAACCAGCTAAAAGCCCATTGAAATCAGAAGGGCAATCTGGGACGAATAATGACACCATAGAAAACACAGAAATCAAGCATTTCAACACAGGATCAATAAAACAAAAACTGCACATGAGCAAAGTCTCAAATGTGATTGAAATAATAATTAATATATACCATTGACCGAAGTGGGATTTTAATTTCCCACTTATAAATATCACGATTTCACCCATTGTTTAATCACATAAGCAGCAGCTATTTTCCTTGGCTTTGCGAGTGCATAACACTGGCACATATTTGCCGTGCTAATGAATGCCACCGTGCCAGAGAACGGCCTCCGGCCCATCACACAACAGCTTCAAGCAGTGAATCACGTAGGCTTCTGTGATGGCAGCATATTTTTTTCAGTCATTAGGCAAACTCGCTGTTACGTGGCACGAACACAGACATCTGAGCAATGTTGTGTGCGTGGCAGTCAGGGGCCAGCGTAGGGCTCGGTGGGGGGGGGGGGGTTGGGCAAAGTCGGCTTGTTTTGGACTGCACCGGAGTTTCCAAATTATCTGTTGCACCAGGACAGCATGAGCAAAAGGAAATTATTTTTTTTATTTAAAGCTTTCGTGACTGCAGTAATTCATATTCTTAGCTCTTTCGGTAAAGTCACCTTGAAGGGAAACAATAAAATAATAAAATATATATAATATATTTATTGCTTATATATATTTGATTATTTTATTGTTTCCCTTCAACGTGACTTTACCGAAAGAGCTAAGAATAGAAATTATTATTGTTTGGGACAACACAACAACAGCAACAAATACAATGTAGTAATGCATCTCTTTAAAAGAATGAAATAAAGAGGCAAGCGAAATCAAGACACTGTACGCCATACCATCGCGCCAAAAGGTTTTCAATCAGTGCACATCACCTGCGATGACGTGACGTAAGAATCAGAAACGTGAACTCTGATGAAGAACATACAACAGCAATTAACGAGTAAGCAAAAAAAAATTGTGTGGGGATTAGACTTACGAGACAAAATAAGGGACAGAAAGAGGAACGTGTGCATCAGGGACCGTACGCAAATTATAAGCACCGCGTTGAACGTGAGGAAAAGCAATTGGGGCTTGGGCAGGACGCGTCGCGAGAGGTTTAGCAGGTGGATAAGGACTGGTGACAGAATGGCAGCCAAAGGAGCGGTTAACAAGAGAGAGAGAGAAGAATGACTGCCGCACAGGCGGAGCAATGAGAGCAGCTCACGCAACAGAGTGTAAGACCAATTCTTGTAGTGGTAGGACCATGCGGGATGGCAATGATGTGAGGCCATCATCCCACCGGTGGGTAGAAAATTGTTGCAGATTACAATGATCGTTGGAAATAAGGATAATAAATATGACTGCCGGGCGGTGGTGGCTATGTACGTGGCCTGTAATCCGGCACTGTGGAGGCGTGGGTTGGTGGATCACCGCACGAATGTTGTGAAGCTCCCATCCCGTGGGCGTCGAGGTGCCATACCCTGGCTCGCTCAAATAAGGTGGTACAGCAATTGCGGACTAATCTCCATATGATCCTTATGGCTGTACTCCGGGGCACCAAATAACGCAAAATGGCAATTAAGTATTTTATTTCTAGGACACTATTTTTTTCCCAGGGGTGTACTTAACTCCGCGACTGGGGTTACCAATCAATCCGAAATCGGTGGTGCTACTCCGCGATGTCGAAACGCAGCGAGGACGATTGTGCCGAAACCCTGAACGCTCGCGTATGCACCGTAGTGGTGCATCGTGAGTACAGCTCGTAGTGTACAGCTCGTCGAGATGGTCAATTGCCGCATCGCCGACTATCAACAGACTAAGAATGACTGCATCACGGACATTATGCGAGAGCCGGGGTACTATGGTACACCCCGGGGTACCGCCATAAGGTTCATATGTCCCATCTGCATGGGATAGAGCGTTGCCCCTTTGCACACGTCGGTTTCCTCTGGGTCCTCCGGTCTCCTCCCACGTGTATAAACACTCATTGGTTGGCTGAAAACATCTGAATATATGCACTTGAGCGTTTGAAAATTGCGCGGCGTTGTGAGATGCAGCTGCATAATTGATGCTACGTGAAGAAAAAAAACTGGAAATTGTATATTTTAATCTAGCATGACAACGTGAAGATATCCCTAGATGCAGGACAGAATCATGGCGCAAAAAACGTATGATTTAGTTTATTTTATCAGACGAGAACTCACTGCCTCTTCAAGAGTGCAATCAACAAGTCACAGCAATTACAGTGCAATGGAAGCCTAAGATGCAATGCCAAAACGAGCTAACAGACAGAAAAGACAAATACATATATGTACAGCACATATTTCACATGTAAACATCAAAACAAATTCATCGGATATTAGCGCAGGTGAAATATCAACAAACACAAAATACAATGTAATAATTATTTAGGTGCAGTCTCAACAATGGTCAACAGGATGAAGAGGGTACAGTGAAAATGTAAACCATGAAAAAAATGTAATGCCTTCATGTGTAACTTACAGGAATTATGACAATTTGCTGTATATGATAACACAACAGATGGAAGGTTCCACCTCGTGGGGTTGTCCAAGTAAAATATTTTATTTTTATAAATAAAAAATATAATTTTTATAAAAAAAAAAATTACGACTCAAAATATTTTATTTTTATTCATAAAAATACATTTTTCTAAAATAAAATACGAGATGTAACATAGAGGAGGGCTAGATCATTAGCCTAGACGTATTGAGTGGAAGGCGAGACTTCTGGAGAGCAAGGGGAAGCCTATTTTCTGTGGGAGGAACGTGAGACGAGATGCAATCAAAACTCACCGTGTATAGTTTAACACGTGGGAGGCTTTCGAGACCAATAATATCTATAATAGAGATTTTTTCTGGTTAGGTGGCGTAAATATAAATGTGTCGTTAAACCCGCCACCACCCGACACAGCCAATTAGTAAGGTTTGTCACGTTTTTTCCCCTCTATTTAAGACCGAAACAGGAGGAATTCTCCACAACTCTGGCTCTCGCCTGAAGATGCTAGTTGTAATTACTGACAAAACGTCGAACTCGAATTGTATGTTGTGGGTGTGTTCTCCAACACACCGGTGTGCTGTACTAGTAACGAATTGGCATGTTTTGTTTACATGACAAACCTTACTAGTTGGCTGTGTCGGGAGGTGGCGGGTTTAACGACACATTTATATTTACACGATCTAACCTCAAAATCCTCTATGATGGATCATCGTGTATTATTTATACGAGTTGGTTACTGGAGGTAGCTGTTCACTAACAGAGAGAGGAAGAGACAGAGAGGAGTGCTTTCGGGAGAACACATCAAATTGCTCTTTGCATTTACTTACTACGGACAGTTCCCGTGCAAATTTTTGCAGGAAAAGAAGATAATGCACGTGCGCGTCCTTTACCCGCTGGCTCGATTTGCATACATCAGAGGAGTTCGCTTCACAAAAGGCCCCTCTTGCTACATTCCCCCCACAGCTACCCCTTGTTCCTCCTGTTCATTTGTCCTAAACGTAATCCCCAGAGACTCGCACTCACCGCTTAAACAGATTGCGTCTATGACGGCCCACTCTGCTGCCCAATCAAGTGGCTCACTTAATCATGAATTCCAATAACCCCCCCACCCGCCAACGGGTAAAGCATGAATTAAATAGGGATGTAAAATAAAACCAAAACTAATTGATATGCACGTAGGCTTTTGCGACCAATATTATTCATAATAAACGTTTTTGGGTTAGATCGCGTTATTTATAAATGTGTCGTAACCCTCCACCACCCGACACGGCCAATCAGCAAAAAAAAAGTGTCACGTTGACAAAAGACAAATAGTTCACTACTTTAGCCCACCGGTGTGTTGAAGAGTGAATCAACAACTGTAAATGATGTGTTGAATAGTGAATCCACAACTGTAAATGTTGTGGATTCACGCTTCAACACAACGGTGGGCTAAAGTAGTGAACTATTTGTCTTTTGTCAACGTGGCACTTTTTTTTGCTGATTGGCCGTGTCGGGTGGTGGAGGGTTACGACACATGCATAAATAACGCGATCTAACCCAAAACACGTTTATTATGAAGAATTAAAATGCATTGAACAATTAAGGGGCTTGGGCAGGACGCGTCACGGGAAGTGAATGATGGCCGATGCTTAAGAATAATGGAGGGTAGCAGCAGCCAAGGAGTGGAAATGCGTCCGAGAGATACATCAGCCGCGGAGATGGAGCGATTAAATCAGCTTGCGCGCAGATATTAGGTGGATTATCCCATTGCAGGTTTGTGAGAAATGGTGACAGCTTGGGTAAGTCTTCATCTAACAGTGGATTGGCCATGGCTGATAATGATGATGATTATAATGAAAACAATTCAATTTACAATTGTAACTGCACTATAACAGTATAACTAAAACTGGGTTAGAATGATGCGTTTTTCCTTTTTAAGATTGTTACAAAGCCTGAGCACCTTTAATGACATACACTGAATAAAATATCTGTAAATGAATCTGGTCAATAAAGAACCTGGAGGCAGTGGAATATCGCTGTGATTTGTGTAATGTATGGGGAATAGCAAATAAGTGAAGTTGTCATTGATTCATTTGATTGTGTTAATTAAAACGAGCCAACAGAGGCCAACAGGGGATAGCAGGCAATATAAGATCACATCAGGGTCGAAAAGGGCAAATGTGTTGTGTGATAAGGGCTGCAATGGCATGAGACTAATGGATACAGCCTGTTCATCCGATAATTTAAATCTAGCAGAGGGTTCAGCATTTATCACGATGTGAGGATGATGACAACGAGGATGATCCAAATGATGATGATTTTGACGGTTATGAATATGATGGTGATGATATAATGATGCCGATAATGAAAATGATGCTGATGATCATGTTGATAATGCCAATAATGATCAGGATGACAGCGAGGATGATGATAACGGTGATAGTTATGATGATGGTAATAATTATCACTGATGAAAATGGCATCAAATGATTATGATGATGATGGTGATAAAAACCTCATTGACAGCACAAAAGAAGGCATGTGCTTGGTGTAGGGCAGTCCTCCGTTGTGCCATCAGTCTCCAGAACTCCTGGCAGAGGGAACGGATGCCCTGGGCACGCTGTGACACCGCCTGCTCCTCCGAGAAGCCCTCTCGTGCCATCATCTCCTCCGCCTGATGCAGCAGCCTCTGCACCTCCTCTGCCACCTCCTGGCAACACACGTGCACCATTGGTATACGCCGCAAATTCTCGAGCCATGTGATCATGTCGAAATACCCCCCCCCTCCCCCCGCAGCATCATGTTCAAAATGGCAGTACATCCGTCACAATGGCCCGAAAGCTTTTGAAGAAGCTCGCTTCAGTGACCTGCAAAGGGGGGAGGCATCGACGCAGGACATAGAGGCTGCACCACTCTCCACTGGTGCCTTCACTCCTGGTTTCTGCGGGTGTACCTGCACATCTGTGATTCGACTGTTATCCTAACCGAGTGCCCATCACTAACTGACGCTTCGCTTTGGACTCCCTGAATTTGACTCTCCGTTGCCGACCTCCTATCTTGCAGGGATGTGAGACTCTGCATGTTCCAATTCTGCTTTGTCCTTAGACAAAGCATCCATTCGAACCTCGAAGAGCAGTGCATCACTCCTTCAAATGTTCATCTTTATCCACACACCAAGCACACTCTACCACACACCCTGGTACAAAATAAATGCTTGATTCAAGCCAAATTTAGTTTTAGTCTTGAAAATGCAATGCATCCAAATTGTATGGTTTCACTGGGGGTAAAACCATCAACTCGCTACACATGAGAACCCGGCTTAATCACGGGTGGCTGAAACCTACATTCAAATCTGGGATATCAGTAGTGGACCCGACCCCCCTCTTAAGCATGGACAAATCCACAACTCTGACAATACGACCATCAAAACCTACCTGTATTTTCTCTCAAATCTACATGCAAAAAAATACATGATGAATGTATTTCTTTAGACTTCAATTTGTTACCTTCGCTTTATTGTTGAAATCCTCGTAGAGTTCGAGGAGTTTTTCGTTTTCTTGCAGGCAGGAACCAACATCTTCCAATTGCAAATAGCACTCTCCGTGATCTCTAAACCACTGGGTCATCTTAATAATAATAATAAAAACATCAAACAAATCAACATTGTTTTTCAAACCAAATTATAATTAAACACATTACATACGTGAAGTAATTATACACATCGAGATTACAAAACACAGTTATGATAATGCAAAAGTAAATAAAATGCTACGCACAATATTCACTTAGGAATATAATGGTAGTCTAAATGTCACACTCATGATATACGGACTGAATCGTGTGTGAGATAATCTATTAAGCCTTTTAAATGAAAATGTAATTAAAACAACGTGCTCCGCGCTACTTTTACGCCAATGGAACAGGAACAAAAATGCACAAAATTATAGCAGAAAGCAATGCCCTACAAAATAAAATAGACGGTAAAATAATCCCCCAAGAAAATGTGCGTTCTTGGTGAGTATCCACAATCCCAAATTGTGACGTCACTGTAGGTGTGAACCATCACCAGGGTCGCTGCGATACAAACTTTCACAATACAGAATCACAATCTGAATATTTATTTATACTGGAGGAATCCGATGAGTCATAATGCTCTTTTTCACACGTCCAGTAGGGGCGGGTAAAAACGTTACAATAACAAACAGTACCAACATATGATATTAGTGCAAAGTACAATAAAGGTCAACAATCACCCAAACAAATACAAATAAAATAAAATTAAACCATCCCCATCCTACCAGGCAGAGCCCACAGGGGTATTAATGTATCTTTCAGACGCGACCTGGTCGCAAATCATAGCGCAACAAAGTTGCCCATCATTTTGACATTGATAGCACCAAAATAATCTAAATAATCTCAATGCATGTTTCTACAATGTGATAACGATGTCCTATTTCACGATATAACTACAATCTCGAGATCGGTTTCACCCGTAACTTTGCGATAGTATTTAACATTTTTGGGGGGTTTTTGTTTGCTTCAGTGCTGATAAAAAAAAAATCCCTTAAATGTTTTTCAACCGTTTCTTATCCAATAACTGCTCGCCATAATTTTTTCTCATCACTGTTAAAAAAATATATATTCATGCTAATAAGGGAACATCTTTTCAGTCGCACAAGAAGTAATGAACCGAACTATGAAATGATTCCATCATATAATTACCATGCTGTCAATTAATTGGAAACACAACATTTTTCAAAGCAGTAAATTATTCGGATGACAGTTGCTTATTTTTTCTTCTAAAAACGTCTGGCCAGCATTCAGGAGTTGGCCATAAATATCCACCTGAGGTGCTCTGCAGAGCTCCCTTCAAGTGGAGGCCCATTCCGCCAGCCGTGGCATGAGCAAGCAATTTACAACTTTAATGGACGAGTGTGTTGTTTTATACATGTTGTCAGCAAAAAAAAAACTAGCTGCGATGACCGCAATGTAATTTCGAAATTATGCTATTTTTGTAAAACGGATAAGGTTATAATGGACCTTACATCGTGGGATACATTGTCGTGCTTGCACATCACGCACCTCCAATTAGCACGGTTTGCTACGTACGGTGCGAAAGAAGTTCAACATACATCACGACAACCCGATGACAGTATTTGCAAACACCGTAGCACCTTATCCATTTCCTGGTCCCAGCAGTAGATCGGAACAGCGACAGAAAGCTCTGCCCGTTGTTGCTCCAGCTGCGGCTCCAGGTGATGGCATCGCTCCTGCAGCATCTCCATGAGTGTCTCCAGCCTCATGCGGCCTCTGCGCAGGCCTCGCCGGTAGCAGCTCTCGCTGGCAATGCTTGGGCAGCGATGCCCGAACGCCTGCAGCTCTTCCACAAGGGCCGCACACTGGGATGTCACACGTGCAGACGCCGCCGCTAGGACTGGAAGACAGGAGGGCAAGCGGGTAGATGGGCGGGCAAGCGGTCGGGAATGGGCCGGGGGGTGATCGTCACACGGATCAGAATCAGAATATTTTTTTTATACCGGAGGAATCCGATGAGCTTTAAAGCTCTTTTTCACAGATGCCCGGTAGGGGCGCATCAGAACGTTACAATAGCAAACAATACAAAAAAACACAAAGGGAGTGAAAAGTATAGGAAAGGCAAGCAACTCACAGCAACCGCACCAGCCCTGAAAAATCAGTGGGAAGGGGGAGGTTGGAGATGGCTGGCTAATCCATCTCCCCCCTGCTGAAGGTTCTGCTCGACTTCTTTTAATTTGCAAGGATAATTTTACGTGCAATCTGTTTGCAAATGTTGGATGAGGCTGGACAATCAGAATATGAATCCGATGAGCTGTAAAGCTCTTTTCCACAGATGTCCAGTTGCCACCGCGCAAATTAAAGCTAACATTTTCGGCAGAGAACCAGACGGAGAGAATCTAAATCCTGTAATTTTAGGTCAGGGGCGGGGGGAGCGCTGCAAGAGGGATGAGACCATCCCGGTGAAGGTTCAGCCTCACTTCTTGCTTCTTGTAGTCAAGTCAATAAACGCTGGTAAAAAAATGAGTACAATCAAGTGATGGATGTCGCAGCCTTTCCTCATGTACACAGCGCGTGAGACGCTCGACAGAGCGGAATGCACGATCGGCAAAATTCATATAACAATCGCGACTTGCTCCGATTGGCGTTACACATTGGTTTAAAGTTTGTTTAACATTCACCGTTGTCGAGCCACTTGTCTGAATTTTTGAATGCCCCCCCCCCCCCATTGAAACGACGTTACATTACGGGGCTGAGTAGAACCGGTCGGGGGTTTTACTGGGACCAGCTTCCGCGTGGCCACTGCGCAATTGAGAGCCGTACTTTTCACATTAAGCGTCGCGCATTTGTGCAGCCGTAAGCGTGGATTGTGCAAATTCTGCACGTCATGTTTTGCGTTTGCGTGTGTAGCCGCAATTTGTTGTGTGTATATTTTTAATCGTCGTCGGAAAACATTCGCAATGCTAATGGGATGTAAAGTGGATTTTTTTAATACGGAAATAGCAATTTCGGTGAATTGTAGAAAATCCAATAATGCCTCCAATCTAGCCAAGAGGTAAAGGAAAATTTCTACATTCATGCCCAGGGGTTTTATTACCGAAAATATCATCGCAAGCTTCTGTATTCCATAGTACCTCTTCATAATAGCATTTAATGTTCACATTTTCTGATCGTGCTACCTTAATTAATTTCGAATGTTATTTTACATTAATCATATTTTAGCCTTTTGCAATTATTTACATTGTCATTTCACCTCAAATCGCTGCAATTCGTTTTTATTTTAGTCAAAATAACACACATTTCACACGTTAAAATACCGAGATTTTGTCTACGAGTTATTGATCGCACAAGTATGTACTTATAATAATACAATAATTCACAACCTATTTGTCAATCTAGTGCAGGGTGTAAGGCTCCCCACGCAGTATCGATCGTGGAGGCTTCTGACCGTGAACTTTCCCCCCGGCGCCAGGCAGTGCGGGTTAGCGAAGGGGGGACAACTGAGAACTCGATCAGACGTTGCTCGCCACTGACGTTAGCCATGGCCAGCAAATCTAACTAGGCTCCCTGCGTTCTCCGGAATCAGAATATATATATACATTTATACTGGAGGAATCCGATGAACTATAAAGCTCTTTTTTCACAGATGTCAAGTCAGGGTGGGTCAGAACGTTACAACAACAAACAATAAAAAAACGAGAGGAGTGCAAAGTATAGGAAATGTAAAAAATCACCAAAAAAATGAAAAATAAAACTAAAGAAGTTTTATTTTCACAGCCCAGTCAGTACACCCAAGCACTGTAACACCGCTCCACCTATGTAACGTCTCAGAAGGTTTATGTGTGGCTGTGCAAAATTAGTTTTGACAATTATTCATAAATTTAATCAATCATTTGTTCACCCCCACCTTTTCGCCATTCGTGCAGTTTCCACAATAAGTCTCATACGTGCGTAAAGATAGAGGTCTTACGAATCCCCGCCCTGGCAACTCAATGGATAAATCATGATTTTGACGCATAATTCCCTCTTGTATATTTGTGATTGTAGTGGCCTCTAGTGGCTGGAGGGCATCGCAAGAACCCATTAAATAAAATGTACAAATGTAACTTTGTGACCTTTGGGGTATAACAATACGTAACTGCATCTGCTAAAATCAATTACTCTATTGTGCGGAGTACAACCGGTTTATTCACGCATTAAATTGGTCGTGTAATTAGTTCATGCGAGACCTTTAATACATAAATAAATGAATGATTCTTGAATCGAATCATAACCACGAGAGATATAAATGACAGGCTTACCTTTCTGAATCTGCTCATGTTGCGCCAAATAATCCTTGAGTTCACCGACGTCCTCTGATCGTTGACATTTTTCCAACAGCTGTTTGGCTTGTTCTATATTATCTGAAAACTTGTTTTCATGAAATAAATTCGCAGAGCGTCAACGTTAATCATGCAGCGATGTGCGTCGATACGTTCGGAAACAAAGCCACTGTTCCGCGTAAAAATTTAAGTGATATGTTAAAAACGCCGTGTGAAAGCGTACCCACGCACAGGATTTCATGCACCACGTTTCAACACAAGAGTGCCAGATACTACCGCGTAGGTTTCTCGCCGTTAGCGCCGTGCAGCTCTCCCGCGTGGGTTCCGATTGTGGTGCGCGTGTTCGGCACAGTGTCTGACGTTTCACTCCATGTGCCAGCATGTTCTTCAGGAACTGAATGCATGCACGCCCCGATGTGCAATCGAGTGCTCCGGTTTTTTTTTTCCCACATGCAGCCAAACACTCGATAATCCTCTTGGGAACCTCCTCAAAAAACAATCTTGAAATTACGTTGGGGAGCAAAGAATCACACTTTTACTGTTTGGCCAAATACTAAACACTGTACTTCATTTAAGTGTTCTGCGAAATCGACTTTGAGGCCGAAAAGTCGTTGCTTTTGATTAACCTTTTAATGGCACTGGGAATATTCCAATTCAAGTTCTAAAGAAGAAGCTCCCAGCACATGGAATGAAACGTCAGACATCACGCAGAACAGCATGCGATCGAGTCTATAAGCATGCCGTGAGGGCTATCCTAGAGTACTATGAGTGAGCGAGGACGTGTCTTTGCAATATCAAACCTCGGCAGCCGTTTGAAAGAAGTCCACAGCTTGGCGGAGGAGGGCCTGCCTGCTATGCATCAGCGTGCTCAGCTGCTCCCAGGCGAGCCTGAGAGATTGGCCCAGGGCGTCGGAGGTCTCCGTTGTCCCTCCCTCCGACCCGGCCTCTACGTTGACGTCTTCCAGGTGGTGCCATACTTCTCCCTCGCGTTCCTGAAGCGGCGAGTGGTCAGACAGTGAAACAAACAGGGAACGTTTACACACGCGTTGCGAGAAGCCCACGTCGTGCAGCGAATAATTTCTGCAACGGTTAGCATGCGAAAAGTTGCATGCAATTACTAAACGAGCGTAATCAGCGCATCCAAATCACCATATGTTCATGAGATTTAATTTCTATCTCGGAAACTAAGTGTGATTTGTACTTGGATGGGTGACCACCAGTGGATTGCCAGGTGCGGGGTTGGTGAGGTATGGCCAGTAGATGATAAGTGCTGTTATCCTCTCAGGAGCATGCATTTTTTATGGGTAGTCCAGTTTCCTCAAGAAGCCAAACACTCGTGGATGGATTTAGGCCAAACATCCCAATGTAGGGCCCTCCTGAGGGTTATGACACATTTATAAATAAACGCGATCTAACCCAAAAACCTTTATTATGAATAGCACTCGTTTTTCTATTTGCCAAATTATACATACTTTACCTCATCTAAACTCTTTTACGAAATTGGATTTGAAACCAAAGATGATATATCCTATGCATCGCAATGCATAACACGCTGAAAGATCCACAGATGGGTTTACTGCCTTTTCATGACCACCTTGCAAGCCAAGCCTACAATACCTGGCCTCTGCATGTTAATGCCGTCACCATATCGATTACCGTAGTTACACAATCTCAAACACCTACAAGTTCTAAATCTTAAAAAGTACGAAATGGGAGAAAATAAAAGAAATACAAAATAACAATGCTATTTGAAGACATCTGAGCGTCAGCCACTGCTTGAACTGTGAACACAGCAACACATCATTATCTTCAAAACAAAGCTGTTTATAGATGGTATGTAAAATACTACCTATCAACTACACTGCTCCTGAAGGGAGCCGCATGGAACCAAGAGAAACATTTTAGAAAAATGTAGCTACAGTTTAATGGCTTTATAAGTACGACTTTCATGAATGATCTCTTTACCTCGCCAAATCCATTAAACATTAGATGAAGGCCGACAAAGCTAGGCAACGTTACGCAAGGATTAGTCAATATTGCCAATCTTATATAATATACCATAATTATTTATGGATATTCTAGATGTGGCCGGGTGGTGCAGAGGTCAAAGCTCTGAGCTGGCACTGCAGAGATCTTGGGTTCGAATCTGAGCAACCAGTCAACCACGAATGCATTGGCTTTTCATGTACCAGTGAGTTCATGGTCTCAGCCCGGTCACCAAAGACCGCACACACATTTGGTTTTGCTCTGAAAATCCTCTGCTCTGAGAATACAAAATATATCAAGTTGACTGTCATACAACAGTCTCGTAGCAGAATGAATGGGAAAGTTCATCCCTGCATCAATATATGACTATTTTTTAATATCTCGTCTTTTTTATTGCATGATAAATGAATATTGTCTTAAAAGGTGTAGGAATTCAAAACATTTGAATTTGATCCTTTTCATCCACAAATTGACGTGCTTCTGTAATCTGATTGAAATGATAGTTGGGCCCAGGAATGCATCACAAAGTGGATTAGTCTCACGATGGTTTCATTGACCTCAGGTCTACACATAATGCAATGTGCCAACAGCATTTTAACTTACATTACATCGTTGGCATACGTTTTATGACATTCCCAGACCTTGCAGGAGTTGTCCACACCTCGTCAGAATACGCACGCATTACGGTAAAGCAATAAAGCTACAGCTCTCCGATTGACTTCTCGCAGACACTCCTGGTGGAAGGTTCTTCCACTCGAGGGAGCTTTTGAGAGCCTCATCTCGAGTATTTGGCCTACTCTTCCACAATAGTCAGATGTATTGGAAGAGATGGAGGAAGCCACACTTTACCCCACCAAACGTGACCTGAATGATCGACTATCTGTGGTGATCCATAATATAGGTTTTTGGTTAAAAAAACCCTATATTATGGATGCTATTGTTCGCGAAAGCCTACGTGTTAAACTAACTGTGGTGAATCTTGATTTAAAGCTTTCGTGACTGCAGGAATCCACACTCTTTGGTTCTTTCGGTAAAGTCACGTAGGTATAAAATAAAATAAATCACGACGTTCCGGGTGCAACACAAGCGTCTGCCATCAGGTTATCAGAGGGAAATGAGATTTTTATAAACTTGCCCATCTTTCAACTGCCGCACTGCGAGCTCGAATCAAACCAGCGACCTCTGGACATCTGTGAAAAGAGCTTCATAGCTCATCGAATTCCTCCACTATAAATACATGTTTTGATTCTGAATTCCAGTGTGCTAACCACTACACCAGGGCAGCGTGCCCCACGTGCGCATACATAATGCTCCTATGGTGAGGCCAAAATATATGTGCTTCACACATGGCCACAGGTTTTTGTCATCACTGAATACCTTCAGCTTAACTTGCATGGCACTGTGATCCTCCAGGAGCCTCTGAGCTTGCCCCAGGGTGGTTCCAAGCTCCAGAAGGTAAGGATGGGCCACAACCAACTGAAGGCCAGCCCAGTCTCCAGACTACAGGCACATACGTAGCATGACAAACAGATACACAAACGCATTTCAGATGCAGCACAGTTAAATACCCAAACATGCTAAATTCGAATAGATTATATAACCCACTGCAAGTTACGGGCGTCGTTTTTGACCATACTTCACCATGGTGATCAGTGCGAGGTGGTGAAGGCGGGGGTGTGATGCCCAAAACACTTCAGTATCGTTCGTCACTGATGTTAATCATAGTCAGGAATCTAACTCATTTAACTGGGCCCATCGTGCAGTGTGATAGCTACTGTGGCTAAATCAACTGCAAGCTGCCCAATATCAGATTTTAGAAGCTAAGCAGGAATGAGCCAATATAGTGCTTAGATATTGACCACCATGCACAACGGGTGTTGTGTACAGTGGAGTTCATGGACTCACCCCGGTCACCAATGACCGCGCACACAAAAAAATGACTCAACAAGATTAAATTTGGGTTTGCTCTGATAATTGTCTGCCCTGAGAATATTAAATAGGAGTGATGGATATCTGAATTTGTCCTGGGCCTCCCCTAGGTCGACTTAGCCTAAAATGAGTACCTTGTGCGGTGTGTGTAAAACATCAGCACTGGGGATACAAACGTGGCCAAACGTGCGTGATGCTGGCTACCCACCCCCTCGTGTGCCTTGCCGGCCTTCATGGGTGTTCGCTAACAGCACTTGCCCCAACAGCCTGTCAAGGCTATACAGCGAATCTTTGTCTTGTCTTCTGTGCAGTTAAATCAAGGCTTGCCATTGGGTTTAACCGGTGTGTTCATGAGAAATTCAACGCACCCATTCATACTCTTTGGTTCTATTCGGGAAAGTCACGTAAAAAAAAAATTCACGACGTTTCGGCCACAACACAAGTGGCCTTCATCAGGTGAAGGGACCAGACTGTCTAGAGGACAGCGCTGGAGTGAACACAGCCAAGCTCAGACCGCGACCTTTAAGCTGTGTGAGAGGAAGCAGAGCGCCTTGACAAAGGAATTAGCATAAAAATTTGCATTTAATTGGCGGACTTAGCATGATGAACGATGTACAGGGGGGGAGCATGTGCAGACCGGCGAGGGGGGAGTTTACATATTGATGGTGTGAAAAGGAAATTTAAGCAGCTGTGAAAGTTTGGGATACCACTACTTGAAAAAATATACTGTACCATTGAAAATTAGTTGAATGTTTGGTTTGATTCAGAACATCTTTCCAATGGTTGCTTAATTTGAAACCATCATCTCGGTTGAAATTGTGTCTGTGTTTGTAAATCTGAATTGCCTCGTGAACAAATTCATTTAAACAGTATAAAGGCCTAAATGTCTATGATAAACATTAAAATACATTCATTTACATACATACGTACATTACAGTAAACATACAAATCTTTAAATTAATACACTTTATTTGCTGATACTGCATTGTCAGTGGTGCACAGGCACTATTGACAAAGAAACTCAACACACTCATCAAAATCACTGACTTAAAATTAAAAAGTATAGACATATATAAAATTGACAACATTTTAGCCATGAACAGAGAGGCCAGAGAGATCGAGTTAATAGCAGTTGGAGGCTGCACTCAAATCCACGGCGCCTGGTGAGAATTACATTTTTTTGTTTTACATTATTGCCAGTTCTTAAATCGGCAAATAGTAGCTACTTAGTATTGGGTTTTTGGCCTCTCTGTTTGTGTACTATGAAGAAGGGCAGTTGCCAGAAACGTTACTGATTTTAAGGCAGTGTGTGTTGACAAGTGTGTTAAGTTTTTTGTTCAGCATATACGGTTGTGCATATTTAAAATCATATTTAAAGCGTATTCATTTATTTTAGCGAAAGAAACTATTATTTCAAGACCGACATCACACAGAACAATCGTCCTAAATCCCAACTTTGAAATGTATCCCGCCCAGAAAATACTGAAACACAAAAACACATGTAAAAATGGGAAAATAATAATGGACATTGAATTGCCAAAAATTGGATCGGTATGATTTAGCATCTTATCATTTTCAAACAGATAAGTGGTCATTCTTTATAAGAAGTTCAACAGCATACCGAGTATGCATGCAAACAAAATAAACAATTTATTTAAATGCAGTATACCAATATATTATTAATCTCTATGAATCCTACAGTAAATTAGTTACCAAAGATAAACGCTCATGCCCAACTTTGAAATTCAGCTAAACGTAAATTAGATTTGTTGATTTGTTCGTTCGTTCGTTTAAGGCCGCAACAGAAAGAACCGCGGTAGCAATAAACTTGTCCGCATTGTCCGCGACGGTGACCTTTAGGATGGCGATGATGACCTGCGACCCTCCCGCCCGCACATCTATGGAGCCGGCGGGGTTCGTCGGGATCACCCGCTGCGCCATCTCCCGCGTCTCGCGACGTGCCAGGCGCCTTTGTTCCATGCGAAGTGTTGGGCCCAATGCTGCTCCGGGGCATGTAGTCAAGCCTTCGCAGCGCAATCAACGCGGAGCTCTCGCCATTGCTTCGAGACTCAGCGGCGCTCATCCCACAACCTCCTGCTTCCCCCTCTCTCTCTCTCTCACCGGCCGGCTGTCAAGCAGAGTGAGCAACCTCTAGGTGAAGCCGGTGGGGGAGAGGAGGTGGGGGGGAGGAAACAAAGAGGGGAGCACGAGGCAGCGGGGGGGGGAGAGAGGCAACATTGGATGCAAAAATAGCTGAAGCCACTTCGTCACTTTTTATCGACTACCGCTCTGGAGATGCTGCTGCTGGTGCCTAGTTTGGTGGTGGGTTTTGCCGCCCCGTCATGCCACCGCCGGGCTCCGTAGCGGTGCGCGCCGTCCACTGAAACAGCGATTCTACGCAGTGCCGGATTATTTTAGTAGCAAAAGGAGCTACATATGTAGCTACGGGCCCCGAACTTTGAAAGACCCCGCGCTAAATGGTTTCAAGCCATCAATTCCGGTTCAGTGAGTCTGCTATTTTACTATAGTACTATACTGCCTTCAACTTTTACGAACGACTGGGTGTTTAAGGTTAGCGATTTGTCGTATTATCTAGCTGTATGGCAAATGAAAAAATACAATTACTTTGCTATGCAAGTAAAAATTTAGTGTTTTAATATGTACGTGTTTTTTTTTAAATTTAGGGCCCTTTATAACATATGCTACAGGCCCCGCACTAGCTTAATCCGGCACTGACGCTACAGTGTGCTGTACGGAAAAAAATTCGCTTTCTTGAAATACAACAATAATTGCACGGACGTGTACGCTTAAAGTCTATTCACAATTATAAATGACTATTTTGGACATCAACATTCCTTTCGAGTGTACGTGCAATTGATCGCTCTGCTTTGCGGACTTGAAGTTATTAAAAAAAACACACAAGTTGTATGTGATGCATTCTATGTGCCTTGTACTGTGTGTGCTGGTTGTTCCATGATGTTGATGCACGACCTTGTCATGTGGAACTTGACCCTGTATCGTTGTTTTTGGTTTGTTTTATTCGTGTGGGGGGGGAGGGGGGTTGGTGTAGCAACCCGGTTTCTGTAACCAGCATTTATTGCCTAATGGATGTTACCTGGCCCACAGTAAATATAACCCGAAGGCCTCATCTTTACCGACCTCTGATTAAGTGGGAACTTTCTGGATACAGCCAATTACCTCACGTGGTCGCCTTCCCACCATGGCTTGTGACCTATCGATGACGTTTCCTTTACCGACTCTGGTTAGCCTCACACCAAGCATCGTCAATGCAGTAGACGGAACATTAAAAATAATGAAATGATTAAAAAAAATCTTAGAATTATCATTCCGCTGTCAATCTATCGCTGGATAAAGGCCTCCTCGCACAGCGTTGATCACGTGGGTCGTTTGACCATACTTCACCACACTGGTTAGTGCATGTTAGTGAAGTGCAGAGTTGACAATGAAGGTGGGCTCGGGGCTGGTTCGGATATCGCTCACCGATCATGCAAGCCATGGGTGGGAATCACTCTCACGATTCATGATTCGTGGCATAGTGCGTTAGCCACTGCATGCACCACTTCTCCCAATAAAAAAATACTACCTGTAAAATATTGTGTATATGTTATGTCTAGGCAATGTAATATGACTGCAGATATGGCAGCACGCACAACAGTTACAATGAGGGTTAGTGGATTTGGTGGATCAAGTATAGACAGAGCTGAGGCAGCAACTTGCAGAATAGGAAGCAGGTTTCTGTCACATCTCCATCATATCCTCGATATGCATGTGTTTTCCCAGGGAATTCCAACTTTCTATGCAAAAATACATCAAAAAAATCTGAAACACTCCAAAGCAGGGCCAATCTATCAGGTGGCCGGGGGATGGCAGTACGGAAATCCATTCCTGAATCCAATTGTGTTGAGCTTTCTTATCCCCTGGTAATGCGTGGGTTATCTCCACAAGTTTTGGTCTCCTCTCGCCGTGCCTAAACATCATGGAATATTGCCAAACGTCACAAAGAAGGCCTCTGATGTGTTTTCGGGTCATACCGCGTGCTGTTCGGGACGACGATGTCCGACGTTTTTGCTCGACGTGCTGCTGGAGCTTCTTTGGGAACTGAATTTGAAAAAAAAAAGCAGCCCCCAGCACCTGAAGTGAAATGTCGGACACCGTGACACCATACCAAATGGCGAAGCGATGCAACTCGAAAACAAAGAGCTGTGCAGCACAGCCACAAAACAAACCTGCGTAGTTGCATCCCAACGCAGGACCCTTCCTGACGAAAGGAGTTATCTGTGCACTGAGGCCTTCCGTGGATAAATAAAATGTATCCCATCTGCCAAAGTCACGGTATTCAAGGTGAGGCTTTCCTGAGTTAAAATAGATACATGCATGTCGCGATTATTATAACACTTTTGCTGTAAATAGCCGGCATGTTTTTTTTTATCTGTGCTTCATTATCACACCCAAGACGGCACATTGTTTCCATCAACGAAAAAAAAAGACATGGGAAGACCTTGGTGGAGGTTGGGTGGGTGGGGGGGGGGGTTGGATCGGTTTTTTTTTTCCCCCAACAAACCAAGATATAAATAGGTTTGCAGGGCCCTGCTGGATAAATCAGGGAGCAGTACACGCGGTGGTTTATCAGTGGTATGTGCAGGCACAGGAGTGTCGGTGACGTCTGAGTGTACCAAGGATCGGAGATCATGGGTTCGCAATCTGTCACGGGCCAGATAGCAGTCGACGTGGCGGCCATTTGGGAAGGGCCGTCATCCAGCAGTGGATTGACCATAACTGACAATGATGAAGTAGCAATTGAAAAAAAAGTTCACGAGCCTTTTGGACGAGGATGAAAAAAAAATACTGTGATGAACCAGTTGCATTGAGTCTCAATGAGAAATGGGCTGTTGGGGGAAAAATGATGGCACAGTGGTTTGTGAACATCAAGCGGCGAATACATCTGTACCTAGATTATTTGGCTGCTAGAAATGTCCACTTGATAAGCCACTTCGTTGAGCTGTCATTTGTGGCCATGTCGCTTCTGAAGAAAAAAAAACTAATAGTTCAGTGGGCTTTGCCTGGTAAAAGAAACATTTCGATTTAAAGCGTTCGTGACTGCATGGATTCATATTTTTGGTTCTTTCGGTAAAGTCACGTAGAAGGGAAATAATGAAATAATACTAATAAAACAATAACATTCTCACGTCGTTTCGATTGCAACACAAGCAAGAAAATTTTCTTGCTGTGGGTTTCACACCTGATGATGATTGCTTGTGTTGCAATCGAAACGTCGTGATAATTGTATTGTTTTATTTGTATTATTTTAGTATTTCCCTTTTACGTCACTTTACCGAAAGAACCAAGAATATAAAAGAAACATTATTTAGTTTTATTTGTATACTAGTTCATGAAGCCTGTCTTCGCCAGGCAAAAGTTTTCAATAAATATAATAACCTGATGTGATTATTTTACAATTTTAAATCTACGACCAGACACTAAGAACTCCTCCAAAATTAGTTTTTCCACGCAAAAAACATTGTTGACGACTTGATTCAAATTCTTATTTTTAAAGACGTACCTATCAGAAACCGCTCAATTTAAATATTCCGTTCTATTTAATTGGAAAGAACAAAAAATAATAAACTTAATACTCTATTAGAGGAAGCTCCTATCTTTTACCGTTTTCGAATTATTCAGATTTGAAGATCATAAAGTGCGTATTTTTTCATTCTAAACCGCTTTAATCCGTATATCACAAAAACAATAAAAGACAGAACAATGGTTCTTATTTTAATATGATTTGCTGCTCAAGGCTCTATCGAGATTTGGTGATCTAAAAATGAAACATCTCGAACTTTCAAATGTTTCCTGTTATTTGTATCCTAAAGCTACCTTTGTTCCAAATTTCAGCTTTCTACCTTGTCGGGAAGTAGCCTAGACATACAGATGAAGCTCTTTATATCGATGTATTTTAGTGACTTACTTACCCTTCCTATACTTTGTAATCCTTTCGTGTTTTTGGAATGTTTGTTGTCACTTTCTGAACCGCCCCAACTTGACATCTGCTTTAAAAAGAGCTTTATAGCTCATCGGATTCCTCCAGTATAAATAAAGATTCTGATTCTGTACCTGGGTCCTCATTCTTCCCCTCATCAAACCGTAGTGATCGGCACGGTGAAGTATGGTCAAATAACCCCTCGCAAATTACACGGTATTAGAAGGCCGTCATCCAGAAGTTGATTGACAAAAAGCTGCAAATTATTTTTTGTACGAAGAAATCTTATACAATATTACAGGATAACACACTTCATGTAAAGGCAATACAATATAAGAGGTCCAAAACTTAAAATGATTATGTTCTGCATGGCGTAAATTGTTAATAAGACCTGAAAACAAAGTGTAAGAAAGCAAACATTTCGATGAATTTGCCAGCCATATCATAGAATAGTGAACTACACACACACATATATAATCATGACATACTTGCTACATGCATCGATATTGCAGAGAGTTGCTGATGCAGATGACATACGGAAGACATGCCAGGGGTAAACATTTAGCCAACCGTGCTGATCGGATGTGCGGGTGAAGAAAACACACTAAACACAAAAAGCAGCTCTGAAAATAACCAGTTTTCAATCGAGATTTAAAGGTGCATAATTCCAGTGCTTTCCGAATCTAAGTTGCATAAACACCACATTAATCCGGTTCTATTTTTTTAAATCTTCGACCCAAGCCAAGCAGAGTACGCTCGGCAATATCCCATCCACACACACACACGCATACTGACATGTGCATGCATTGTCCAGAGTGTGAACAGAAAGGGCTGGAATTGATCCATGTCCCCTAAGCGCAACATCTATTGTTAGACAGTCCAAAGGTGAGATCTGGGAGGGCATTAGCAACCTTGAGGACTTGCGAAACCAGTGAAATACATGGCATTGGTACATGCCAATTAGGCTGTTTCAATTGCACTTAAATAATAATTACCCTTTTGTATTGAGGAAAGCTGAATTTAGTAGTAATACTCTTTTGTAGGAGAATCGTGCTATGAGATCTGTCAATGACATTGAGTGTTTGGCTTGTGGATGGAACCTGGAGAAAACCCAGCCACGCATACAAGGCTCGTGACGGAATGGCGGCGAGAAGAGCGAACACATCCAAGAGAGCGACTCTCGTGCAGGCAGAGGTCATGTGTAGGCGATGGTTGTGTTGTTTCTTGACCCGCCCCTACTAGACACCTGTAAAATAAAGCATTCATAGCTCATCGGATTCCTGCAGTCTAACTAATTATTCTAAATTCGGATTCTGTTATGACATTGGGAAAGCCTATGATGAATGGTAATGGTAGACCTTTACCCAGCAGTGAGCTGGCCATGGTTAATGTTGATGATGAGGAGTCTCTTAACTGTAATACGTGATAACAGATTTAAATTTCCACACAGTCGAGTGTAGTGCGTGGCAGTTTACAAAAAAAACACAGAGGGCATCCTGAACTTCGTCAATGATGATCATATTCGTCGGCATTTTCATCAATGATCAG